GATGAGCAGCAGCGTCCTTTTTAATACATCACCAAAGCCTAACTGCAATTGCCAAGCGTGGCAACTACTGGCAAAACCCCCCCAATAGCAGTAGGCCTATATTCAATAGTGTACAATCAACGGCTCCTAATATGGTATAGTAAATACAAGCCACCAATGAACCAAGCTAAATAAAATCCTACATAAACGATGCTTCTTTTTAAATTACTCAATCATAAATTTAATCCAGTAACAAATAAACATAGGTAGTACCCATAGTTGTAAAGTGCAGCAGTTTCCGGCCGAACCTTCCGCAACCCACGCTATATTCTCAGTAACCTCGCTATAACTAGTTCAAAGCATATTGCTAACTTTAACTTAACTACTCTATAGTATAATATAGGTATGCAACGACATGTTTAATTTTAACTGGATTTTTTTAATGCAACTTAGAATGACAAACAAGCTGACGGCCCACCTGATGGAAAGTGGCAACTGTCGCATATAGACATGAACAGTACCATGATCATAAAAGAGTATACTGTTTCGCCCATGATATCCGTCATACAGACAGGCAGATAGATAGATAAAGGTGTTGTATAATTAGATAGGTGTTATTAAGTTTATATTTAGTTGTAAAATTTTTCTTCTCTCCAACATTCTGTAGTTTTCTTTTAACTTACCAAAAATTGATTGTAAAAGGTCCCTCTATAGGATAAGTCCACCATTTTATATTAAATCTTTTTAAAGTGACCAATACAAAGTATGTGCAATAAAGACTTTACAATACAATACAAAACTAGTAATAAGTATTATAATATGACCTTATACCTATTGTTTATATTCTCTGCACAATCCTCTGATTGCTCAGCAGCCAGATATTGATATATTTAATGACAAAATAGATATATTTTTAAAATTTTGTTCAAAATTTTCAAGTTTGTAAAATAAACTTATGGCTCACTACACATTTTGAGATACTGTAAGTGTGGTGAGTAATTTATAAATAAATATACTTACCATGTTTTTTGTAAATAAATATTCATTAATTCAATTAATTTCATTTTTATAGTTGTAAACACTGAACATTTACGGATTAATTACATAATTAAAGATTGTTATTAAATTGATTAGAACCCAATAATATAAACTAGTTATTTCAGTCTAAAAATTAAACTATTGAGCCAATTTTGATAAAACTTCTATTACACCAATCTGTAAGTATATCCTTTTAGATTTATAAAACAATTTTCCAGATTGGTTTAGAACAGACAAAGTTATGAGGTCACAAACATAATACAAAATTAACAACTGAATTGTGGACCTCCAATGAAGTCGATTGAAAGTGTTGTGAAAATCGCATTAAAACATTTTTATTTATTTATTCTTTATTGTACACAAAAAATTATAACATATAATATATATAAAATAAAGATGTACAACAGGCGAGCTTAACTCTGTATGAGTTCTCTTCCAGCAAACCCTGAGTGGAAAGGAGAAACATTGATTTTAGCTTTTCTATTGTTTCTACGGATACATTTGCTAATTTATTTGGACTTTATTTTGGCGTACTAAAAAATATTACTTGTATTACTGACATATTTCTGCATTTTTTGTTTAAGAGCTGCGCTCTCGTCGGTGGAGCTCTTGCCACTCACTACGATTTTCGAGTCTCTTCCCCTCTTCATACGACACGACACTAACTTTTTCCTTGATCTATCCTTCCCCTCTTTCCATTTATCTAACCTTCTATTATAATGCTCATAATTTCATCGTGTCGTATCAAGTGTACCAAACATTTTTTTCCTTCTGACCTAAATAATTTATATGTCAATCCATTCGACTGTCAAATTATTTACCATTTCAAAATAAAACACCAAAGCAGGACTACATAGGCACCTAGAATTACCATTCGTACACTAACGTCATATTACACTTTTACAAACTATATATTTACTTGTAACAAACTCGAAATAATTATTTTACACCTAACACCAGTAAGTATACATTTTCCTTTGAAATTATACTCTGCCTACTCCAATATCGACCCCATGATCTTGTTACGAGGAAACATAAAACGCTGTTCAATGCTTCCACCGTAAAGGATGAACGTTTATTGGTCTACATAGTTTACGTTGTTCGTTTCGAACGAACAAAACGACTTACAGCAAAGATTTTTTTAATGGAGTGAAAATAAAATGATGATAACTGAGGATAGAATTCAATTAGCCTATCCTAGCATCCTGATGATTAAATACGATCGTTCTAGATAGGACTGCATGGAAGTCAATCTTACTGAATATATTGATGTCTTGGTTTTCACGAGGATACAGAGAAAATCTTAAGAACTTGTCTTCTTAAGGAAATCTTAAGATTGTGATTTATGGGACAGAACTAGAAGTTTACGACCTTCATATATAGACACACCCACATGCTTACGCACACACACACACTCATACACACATACACACACACACGCACGCACGCACACGCTCATTCAAACACACCTACGCATATCCAAACTCACATAAAATATCACATACTTAAATTAACCCTGTTCGCTGCACCATAACTAGTTAAATTTCTAGCTTTGACTTCCATGAGAGAGGCTTTGCCTAGTGTGGGGTTATAGTTATATTGTACCATAGGCTAATTTTATTTAAGAAAATAAAAATATTTTTAACAATGGGGAATAAATTCCCCATTACTAATATTCCCTTTTACCCTAACGCAGGTTCGCAACGGGAGGATTACGCTGCCTTCCATATCTCTGATAAATTACAACAATATATCCAATATCTTTGTTCTATATCCATTACGACCTTCGCGATGGATCCAGAGACAAATGAGGGCGTTACCTATCTTAATATATGACAGTGCCGTGTCACGACGTTCGTTCAAGCTTAGGTTCAAGCCAAAGTTCAAGCCATAGACTTAGAACGTATCACGGTTCAAACTAATCTCCGAAACCGCTCAACTGATTTTAATGAAATTTTCTGAATACGTAATGTTCACTCCAACTTGAAAGATAGAATAATGTTTATCTTAAAAAAAATAAACCCGATAAACACCAAAAAAGTTTTTTAGTGTCATTTTTAAAAATAACTACGAAACATTTATATATTTTTCTTCTAAATAATCAAGCAATGGTCCGAATATGTTGAACGTTAATGACTTACAAAGAACATATCGTAATATAATTATTGGAACGATTCTATACAATTTTCTTGAAATTGCTCTAATTTTAGAAATAAATATTCTCTTTAATATTGATGAGTAATTGAGTATGTTATTGTGTACATAAATAACAGAATACCCTGATGTTATCAGCGGTTCATGTATAAAGGGATGATCAGCAAAGTCCCTTCTAAAACACCACCAAAACCCAACTGCGGTTGCCAACCCGCCTGCTATCAGGGCGGCTGATATAATGATGATGCGTTTTAATTATATCATGAATAGAAATCTAGCAGATTCCCTTTTTACACTGGCAGCATTCAGCATATTCCATTCACCAGACCCATTACAGATAATAGTGGTGATATTTCCTTTCTACGGTCTGGTAGATAACGCCATGGACTTAACACCATGTTAAGTCCACCATTTACACTTACAAGGTGCAATAAATTTTAATTAATAAATATCATCATCTTCATCTTCCTACCCTTATCCCAACTATCATTTGGAGTCGGCGTAATATGTTTTCCTCTTCCATTCTTTTCTATTCCCAGTCATTTCCACATTCACTCCCATTCTGGCCATATCGTCCCTCACACAATCCATCCATGTCTTTTTAGGTCTTCCTCTCCTCTTAATTAATAAATATATATGTTTTATTGCTATTTCCAAAGCAGCAATAATTTTTTATTACCAGAAGTTTCTGTGATTCAACTGTTCATCAAAATTATGGCGTAAAATATACAGACATCATAAAATTAAATTACGAGATACTATTCGTACTACACAGTAAAGATTACCTGTCATTATTATATGTTTGTTGATTAAATAAATATTGTAATTATTGACAACCACATTTTTTTTAATACTTCAACTAACTACATACCTCAACTTACAACTTCAACTGATCGAATCCCAATTATTTTATACCTTTTGACATCATCCTTATCATTGTCATCATCACCTTCCAGACCTTATCCCAATTATTTGGGGTCGGCGTAATATGTTTTTATCCATATTACCTATATTTGACATTAATATTAAATCGTAGATGTATTTATTTATTTATTATTTATTTATTTACACTCTATTGCACCATTTATAAAAAAGTAAATACATTAAACTGTAATAAGAAATGATATAAAAGGCGGCCTTATCGCTAAGCAATCTCTTCCAGACAACCTTTGGGTAGAGAACATTGAGAAAAGAAAGAAAAACAAAGGGTAGGTGGCGCACTATTATATATAAACAAATATATACAAAGATAAATACATATATATATATATATATATATATATATATATATATATATATATATATATATATATATATATATATATATATATATATATATACATACATAAACATACACAAAGTTAAAAGTACACATACGACAGGAGAGACACTGGAAGATGAAAATAGATCATGGGAAAATAGATACTTACTTAATTATATAAAAGTACACGGTAAAACTAACCAATAGTTTATGTTTATCTTACATCTACATTATGTATAAGCATGTTATGACTATGTAATAAATAAATAAATTTATTTATTTCACACCATAAACAATTAAATAAATTTAATAAGATTTCTTCAAACCGGAATAAAATTTGTATGAAACCAACAAACTAAGAAAACGGCCCTGAACCACTTACACCAGTACATATATAATCTGTTGATATCCAATAATAGGACAAATAGAAAATCAATTAATTGATGAAATGTTTCGTTTTACTACCAGTTCCATTAGGAGACTGTTTCTGGGATAAACACAACAAAACTTGTAAACTCTATTGAAACTTCTAGGCTCTCTCTCCTAAAATGTGACAATTTATTTCCAGAGAAGGGCATGTACCTGGGCTCGCCGTGCGAGGTCACATGCAACCCTAAGTTGGTGCACGTGTACTGCGAGCCGACCACCCAGTCGTGCCAATGCGACACCAAGCACCCAGTCGCACTCGGAGTCAACAAAGGCTGTGCTAAACGTGAGTACTTATCTTGGTCATAGATGGGTGACCAGAAGAGCCGTACCCAACTCAGAATCATTTAATACCCAGGTTCCAAGCGAAGCTTCTCAATGACATGTTTTAAAGTACATATACGCCTTTTTAAAAGGCGTATATGCAGGCAGCCCAGAAAATAACCTTAAATACGCCAATAGTACCTGCAGGCAGAGAGAAGACAATAATAATAATAATCAGGGAGTTTATCCTAATACACTTGAAGATCACGTACAATGCGATTTCACAGCAATTTTCTCCCGCAAACACTCAGGCTGTGGAATGAGCTCCTTGCCGAGATTTCCCTAAAGACTACAATATGAGGTTCTTCAAAAAGGTTAGGTATATTAAGATTTCTTCAGAGTCGGCTACATGCACGTGACATCCCTACTGTTGCAGGCGTCCATAGGCTTCAGTGACTGTTTATCATTATGCATAATTGCCACTTTCGTGGTATAAAAAAATTTGCCTCTCAAGTCCTCTTAGTCAAGTCGTAAACGAATCTGTTGGTACTTAAAGATACTTTATTTTTTATTCAGATTTTCATTAGAGCAGTTTTTGTTGTCGTATGTGAAAAAAAAGTAATGTGAATGTTGCTATCTCGTTCCATCTCATACATACTGCAATGAAAAGGCTGTCTATAGCTTCTCTTAAGTTAGTTTATCTTACGTTTAGGAAGGCTCTTTGTGTCTAAACGCTAAAACTCATTTTTAACCTTACGAACCATTAAGGTTGGTAGGGTAAGGAGAGCAAGAACTACTGAGCAAAGATCTCTACTCACAAAAGAAGGATTCAAGGCTTCTAGCTTGTTATTAGTACACTGGCCAGATGGTTTAGTATGGGGTGGTATTTCGAGTATTCCTTCACTTGCATTGGAGTACTGTGCTTTGTTTCCATAATAGCCTTTAAGACATTCTCGAAATGACAGTCATATATGATCTGTGGTAGGAACACCTTGTCTTAATTTTCTATCTTACGATGCACTTTCTATATCTTGTGCTAACTTATTTTCTTAGTTATGCCATAGCTTAAAAAAGATTTCTTCTAAACACAGCCAAGAAACTCGGGGAGCAGTGCTTCTATCGTCAGACATGTCGCGCGTTCGACGCACACGCATCGTGTGTGCAGGTCAACCACAACGCGTACTGCCAGTGCGACCCTGGCTACCACAGCACCACCCACTCTAGACCCACACAGAGGGTCTTCTGCACTGAAGGTAAGATATGGAATACGTATCTACCTCCATTTCTACATTATTTGCCAATTCTGCCTCCAATCAGCTAACTGTAATCTGATTTGAAGGGTAAAATTCAATATGATTCCTACGGCTACTTTCTGCTATCGAACAGCTCGCCATCGACAAGGAGTTCACCCTCATACCTTAGAGCCTAAATGGTAGAGTACAACGCAGTTTCAGAGATGTTTCCTCCCACGTACGTAGGTTATGGAATGAGCTCCCTGTTGAAGTTTTTCCAAGAGACTACAGCAGGGGGTTCTTCAACAAAGGGGTAAAGATCAAAACTAATAGAATCGTTCTCACTAATAAATAAATCCACCTGTTTCCAGATCTGGTGCTGCTGACAGCGGACATGCCGACGCTGCTGGGCGTGGCGTCGGGCATCTTCGTGCTAGCTGGGCTGCTCTGCATGGTGCTGCACCTGTACACCAGGGCGCGGTTCCATCCCACGCATCTAGCTGATGCCAGACTTACGCCACCGTGTTTGTACTCGCTCAACGACACAGGCAAGTTTATTAAATACCACATGAATAAACTTACATTTGTATGATAAGATAATAATCACCAAAATTGAAACAAACCTGATGACCTACTTCATGGAAAAATGGTCCCGGCATAGAATGGGCCACCCCTTTCTTTCCCGTGGGTTAAAGGTGACTAAGGAAACTTAATAATCGAGGAATGAGCAGCAGTGTCCCTCTTAAAACTTTATCAAAGCTTAACTGTGGTTGCCAATTCGCCTGCCAAGAGTGGCAACTACTGATAAAACCCTCCAATAAGTGAAGGCCTATCTTCAGCAGTGGACATGAACAACACATTGCATATGATGCTCATAGTACTCCTCATACTTTGATAATCTAACATATTTGGATTACTTTACTATCACCCTTTTGTAAATTAAACATGTGGATGATAATTTTGAACTAGTCTCCATATTATTGGGCATGTAGCACTCATAATGATAAACCGTACGTCAGATACCAATTCCATCTACACTCCTCTAGAAATCTGGCAAACGAATATACCAATTCGATACGTTTCCACTATCGAATGTATAAGATAAAATAAGACGACAAATTCCATCATCTGGTTCTTTTCATGTGTAAGCTGAGGAAATTAAATCTACTGATAGATTCCTATCAGCTCAGCATCAGAACTCGTTACCTTCCAAAGTCTTGTATCAAACAAGACTCCTAAAAGATTGTTATAGAATGAAAGTTTTAATTGTGCAGGGGGCACAGTGAGCGGGACGCGCGCGTCGTCCCGCGCGTCGTCCCGCAGCGGCTGCACGAGCGGCACGCTGGAGCTGGAGTCGTCGGCGTCGCGCCGGGCGTCGCGGCGCGGCGGCGGCGGCGTGCCGGTGTCGGCGTCGCGCGCAGGTGCGGCGCGCACCGCGGCCATCTTGCTAATCTCGCGCCACCTGAAGGCCGTAAGGCGGGACGGCGGCGCGCACCCGCCTAAGTGCGCCGCCAAAGGTGATCTGGATAATGTATGCAGCGCGCGGTCCCATTTCTGCACGTCTCGGTGTTCGGGCGTCGGTGGACGACGCGGCCTCCTACAACGCCCACCTATCCGTTCTATCCCATCCCTCACCTTCCTGATTAAATTTGTCATAACGGTTAAGCTGTCCTCGAAGATGCTGTTACAATTTAAATGTCAAAGAAGACTTTCTTCTTATATTACTTTGTACATGTTAATCACAAATGGTACTTGTTAGAACTGACATCGCAACGAGAACTCAGATACTTTCGATCGTAATGAAGGACGTGACCTCAATAGTGGGACGTTGGGCATTGGAGGATGTCCGCGCGAGCGCATGAGACGTACCGACGACGCCCGTGTCCGTTAGATGTTGCGTTTCGGTGTTAGCGGCCACGGACAGGCGCTAGTCTGCGACTGCTCGACCACGATGCGATGTTGAACCAAATATGCTGGATTGTCCCGATTCAAGTCTGCCATTTAAGCTGTTTTTGTTTTCTGATTCTCATACGGAAAGCATTTCATCTCACATCTACTCCCATTATCAATTTTAAAGACCTCTGAGCCATTTCCTTTATATCACTGTCCACAATCTCCACAGAAATAACATTACATTTACGAGCTATCATTTATCAGCCTTATTATCAGCTGATTATAAATAAGTAACTGATATAGTTATCAGTTATATTCAACCTATATCCTTAACCAAATACCTAAATATATTTCTATTGAATAAGAAACAGATGGTCAAAATATGCCAATGCAATTTAAAAGTCCTAACTTTCTATCGCAGAACATTCTATGCAAATACTATTTATGCATTATTAGTCACTATAGTATACTTATTTCTGTGTAGATTTGATGATGGCAGAATTTTTTCATAATAACACCTTAAAAAAGACTTTGTTCTCCATTATCTAAACAAAATCTATCAACGCAAGCCGTAAAATTCTCATTTGTTTTTACAAGCAACTATGACCTTCTCGGACAAGTCACGTAACTCCTCAAAAATAAATCCAATTGAACTTTTTATTTACTTTTAATATTTACATTTCATTGTACCACATTCATGTTTCTTTTCTCTAGACCTGAAACCTGGCATATTTGGGATACATCAGCGTAAAACCTGACAGTTTTGGTGGTATTCTCTCGTAAGTACGCTTGATGTGTGAGGCTTTTCTCGTGGCATTGGCACTTCTTTGTCAAGGAACCTTTGAGCTGTTGGATACGTGAGTCGCTTCGGTGTGGTGTCAGTCGTATGATGAAGTGCAATCTTCGCGCGGCGCGAGCAAGATGGCCATGGTCCTTCCCTTCTCTCTCTCTTACACAGTCTATTAGTAAATGTTACGAAACTAGTCAAGGTAGCCTTAGCCTGGCTGACTGTCATAATGCCATACGGCATAAACAAATGCCTGGACATTATGAGGTCTGTACAAACAATTTTTAAATTGTTCACTCCACATTCCAGTACACATGGCATAGTACCAATCAATAAGACAAGCAGATAAATGAAAATTATTAAACATTTTAGAGTGTAACTTATTGATAAAAATTTTTGGTTCTGTCTTCAAACTTGCATTTGCAATCACAGAGAGGTTTGTTCTGTGAAAACTACAGCGTAGAAATTATTATTGTTTGTTTCAAATGAACTCAATCAAAATCTAAACATACGAATAATTGACCCGTCCATAAGACAGTCTGCGGATGTCCAATAAAAGTACCAATCAATAATCGATTGATTGGTTGGATATTTCGATTTAGTGTTTCTGTGATCATTTTAACAATACTTAATAATTTTTTCATTGAGTTCTGTTGAAACAAACTATAAGGATATATTAATATACGAGCAAAACCCTCCAAAGAGTCTAAATTTCAACTGTACTCCTTGAGATAACTTATTCAGTTTTATAAATACCTAGTATTGCAGTATTTCAGCTTGATACACCCGTCTAATCATGACAGTCAAAATTAGTATGTTTAAGAAGAATAGATACTGAGCAAACCTAATTAACAACTACAGCTCTGTCCTAATAGGATTAACCATTTTTTTACAAAACATTTACTCCAAAAAGTTTGAACTGTAGATACTTGAAGAAAATTTACCCATACCGAGTACATTTTAACATCTTAGTGTTTATCAGAAATATTTTAAGATTATGAGCGATAACAATCCAAGATAACTATTTAATTTTATTCGTAACATATACATGACATATTAATAATATCCCAAATATTACACCAGTATTATTATATCTTATAAAAATTGAATTAAACTAATTACATCTAAAATTAATCCAGATTATTAACTTTACATTGACCTTAATTAATCTCTGTCAAATGAATTACATTTTACATGAGATAAACGAAGGCCAGTACATGATAACAAGCTCAGTCCTGCTGCTATAGTTTTCACAGAGGAATCTTCAGTAACAATGGCCAAGGCTTCAATTTCATGGTTTCAGCACGTACGCTTCACGCTTCTCGTCAGTCTGTCCACCTAGCAATGGCTATGCATGGAAACACAGAAGTAAATGAGGGTTTCGTAAAACACCAAAATTACATTTTATCTTCTTTTATTTTATATGCACGTGACATCCCTTGTGTTGCAGGCGTTCATAGGCTACAGTGACCGTTTACCATCAGACGGGCTGAATGCTTGTTTGCCTACTTTGCGGTATAAAAAAATATTCTCTTGAATGAGAACATATGGTTATTTGAAAAGTACAAAATTATAAACAGTTTTATAAAAATCCAGACCTAAATTAGGCCAAGCGGTTGTGGTAATAAAATTCAATTTCGCGTGTTCTTCGTTACTTTACTTCTTCTCCATTCAGTACATCTATTTGCTATCTCTCCAAAATGTACCTAATTTTAATGTATATAAATTCCTGGCATTGACATTGACAGAATGCTTTTAAATCGGCTTACAAAAGTTTGGAGCTTGAAAAAGAAAATGGGATATTTTGTTTCTTACGAAGAATTAAAATCACTATGTAAAAATATTCTAATAAATATGCGAACAGTAAAAACATATCTTCTCCTTTGACTAAGTAGACACCAAAAAAAGAAAGGTATAATAGTAACCGGTCGATAATTTGACACCACGCCGGCATACACAGACCACCAGTGTATGCCGGCTCAAAAACCCAGCGACCCGGAGGTAGTTGCCTCTGGAGATGCAGCCGGGGTAGAAGGGTTTACCCCGAGGCCCCTACCTCGCCCGCCTACACAACAAGGCGGGCAAGAAGACTTGTGATGATGATGATAATTTGGAAAATTCTCATATTTTAGGTACATAACACTAAACCACATTACCAAGTTAAACAATGTGATTACAATAAATAGAATATTATATATAATAAAGATATCAGAATATTCTTCAATATGAATACGTTAAGACCTTCCTTTATTTCTGTGCGTATTGTGAGCGTTATCTATATCGTCATAGTCGTAGAATACCGACGGATCTTTATATGTTATCTTTGTCAGATCCGTCAGTATTCTACGACTATGATGATATATTACTTTGGAGTTGACATAACCAAACTTTACCACTGTAATATCTCCATAACTTTCATATATTGTACATACTATCTGAACCTATCGTTTGGAGTGTAATTTGGAAAATATTTTATATTTTAATTCACTCGTATGTTTTTGCCTTAGACATTATCGATTTAAGAAAAAACTATTGGATATACATATCAGTGCTTTAATTTCTTTATCACACAAAACGAACATGCATCCATTTACACAAATAACTTTTAACTGCTGCTTACTTTTAAAATTATAACTTGCGCTTGGCAGTTTACATTATTATTTATCACATAAAATAACAAATTTCTATTTAATTATAAGATTAAAATCATCACAATAATAGTTGCTCACTTTGCCAAAGAAAAATTGTTCTTCAAGTTATCAAGCTTATACATACATATATTCGCGAATAGTCCAAGAATCTTCTATGTAAACGTAAAACTGATCTCCTCCGCAGGTTCGCGACGTCCAAGTCTAAGTTCTGTGCAAAGCAGCTCGTCTTCTATCAGGAGTTACAGTGCCAGAAGGTGGGAAAAGGAGAGAGAACAAAAAGAAAGACGGCAAATGAGCATGCGGCTCGCTCAATTGCACGACAAGATGGCGGCTGGGCGGGAAATTCCGAAGCACGCGCCGACGCCGTCGCCCCGCTCGCCAAATAACTCCACAGATGGGCTGCTACCAGCTGTATGTGAAATTAGAGAAGTACGGTTATCACCATCCCTATCCTTCACAGTAGTTATTAGCAGGACCGACCTTAGTTTGCCTCAGGCCCCTAAGAATGTTTTTGACAGTACCCCAATGGTAAAAAAAGGTATTCCTATACCGAATGAGTGGACAGGAACAACTTCTCTTAGTAACATAAATTCACCCCTGTGTCAAAAGCATCAAATTCGACGATCATGCATTAGTATGCATGACTCCTGTGTTGGTTCCACAGAAAATCAGCGTTTAGGCGTTACATATGAATGCCTAGGCATTCATACTTAGCTGATTGGTGACATATTTGGTCGCATTATTCCTAATCAGGTATAAGTTTATTTTAGTATTTTCTTTTTCCTTAAATTTATAATTATTTATGATTTTATTGTAACTGTTATTAATAAGCGCCAAATTAAATTTTTTCTTTCTTTCTAACTTACCCAAGTCGATTAAGAAAGTGACCTCGTATTTCTAGATTCACGACACATCTAAACATAGATTAGATACCTAATAGCATTATTATATCTTTCCACCAACTGACACGAATACCACGATCATCAAGCAAACTTATTACATCACACAGTAGATAAAGTATATAGTCATAGTCCAATTTATCAAGACTCAAATATAATATAAAATCATCATTATTTTTATTAAAATAATTAAAATATTTTCAATTAACTTTATTAACAACTAATAATACAAAACAAGGAAAGTTTATGGTCGAAAGATGAACAACAGTGTACAGTTAAAACAAAACATAACTGCGGTTGCCAACCCGCCTGCTAAGAGTGGCAACTACTGGCAAAAGTCCCCTTATGGCCTAGGTTCAACAGTGGACAGTTAACGGTTGATATAATAATAATAATCATGGATAGGACAGTTCTTGCGAACAAACCTGATATCGTGGTGATGGATCGGGCACTCTGGAGAGTGTTTTGGTGGATGTCACCATACCGCATGACGAGAACCTCGTGAAAGCTTTTATATACACGGTACATTTTAAACCATGGTGACTTCAAGAACACACGGAAAGCGACCTTTTGATATATGGCTAGCAATAACTCCGCCAAATCCTAATACTGTATCCCGGGGAAAGGAATTGTTAGTAATGAGGTCTAATAGCTCCATTGCCAGTAATATACCCTCTCAAGTCGGGCTCTCTGGACAACTGGCTAAACTGCATTTATTCTCACCTATCATCTTCCACTGGTGCTCCGCCATTATATACCGATAGCGCGGGCGGAGTTATCCCCTGTCCACCGCTCCCCTGTAATATACTGTTACTTGATATGATTGTAGTTTATATATTTTTTTTTAACAATTCCAGCTCGTATCGAACCCAGAGCAACAGCTGCAGGGCGTGGACGGCCCATGTTCTAGCTCGTCCCTTTACTGACAACACGCTCACCCGAAGACGCGTCGGTCACTGGACTCGCTTGCCTCGGATGGTGCACCAACCATCGCCTGGATGTAGACTGAATGGATCTAATCCCTCTAGATGGAGTGCCCCTTAACAAACGCTTCGGCAGACAACTCAACGTTTATTTTAAAAATTGGCACGCTTTTACAATTGCATTAATTTTGCAATTGGTGGCTCTCATATTGTCAATATTGTACTTTAAATCCCTTATTCATAAATTAAGACCTTATAAACACCTATTTAAAATGTATGATTTCCTTTAAATTGAAAATGTAACTCAAAAAAACAAAACAAAACACTTCAATAGTTAAATATTGAACCTGTTTGACTATTTATAGGGGATCAAATTGTTCTACACACGAAATTGAATATTTGAACAACGTATAAAAAAAGGCATCAGCAAAAAATTGGCTCAGCATTTTTTGACTGGCAGTTTTTTACAATCGACGCTCCATCTAAATGAATACGATCTAACCCGACCGTCTGGACTTTCGTGATGCGAAATCGCATCTCATTTTAGGACTACCCAAGTGCGTTAGTGTACTTATAGTGTTTGGACCATCGAAGTGATCTTCGAAACGACGTGTCTTAAAACTGTTGTAAGTGCGAATTTTGAACCCCCATATAGAAACTCCATAATGATGAACAATTACATAGAATAGTTTGACAAGTCCCACTGACTTAGATTGAGCGCTTCGTGCTTTTAGGCGTATAATTATAAAATTTATTAAAAACTAGCAACTAATAAGAGAATGTTAAAGTATGTTTCAATACCTTTGGCGTTGACATTGGTGTTTGGAAAGTGACAGCTCTCAGTTTTTGCCTAATTAGAATTCAAGATAAATTCTTTGCTTGAAACGGAACGTCTTCAAGGAACCGTTTAGCTTCAAATGAATTGAAATTATTTTCTAAGTTAAAATTATAAAATAGATATGTTTTTATAAATCAACATTTATTACTGGTTGTATTAATGGTGAATGTATTAAATTATTTATAACAATATGTCATACATAATAATAATATTTATCTTTTACCCTTTGGTATTTTCCTTGGTTGGTTTATACCAAAAAACATTTATGTTCTTTTTCCGGTTTCTCGCATGACATTACGATTGAAAATTGTTGCTTTTTGAAGACTAGGCAGCATGGTCTCCGACCTTAGCCTGTTCCAAACGGAACAAACGTACTAAAAAAAAAAAAAAAAAATGAAAATTGTTGTTACTTATTATTGTAAGAGATATTTATTAAGCATGTACGAAAATAATTATAATATATGTATACACGGACGCAAATATATTTTGTCGATATTGATTTAATTAATTAGATATTGATAAAACTTATACTATATAATGTGAAATGAGATTTGGAAGACACTCTTATCCTGGAAAGAACACTTTTGGGAAACTTTGACTTTTTGATTGCATTGCATTATCAAATTTGCTTTTTAGATCTCACTTGTTCTTAAATATTCGAATAATATTGTATGATAAGAATAAGAGTGTCGTCCAAACATAAATGAAATTATTAATATTCGTTGAAAATTTTAAAGTATATTATTTAATATGTTTAAGTAAACTACAAAATATTTGATCTTCAAACAATAGATAGGCATTTAGGCTGGCATTGACATTTACATTGTACATGTATGTAAGGAGAAAAATTGACAGTTGCAATGGGCGTTTTTGTAATTTACCATAGCACGGCAAAATATCGTATTATATTACCGTCACAATATAAAACACTACACAATTTTATGCAAAAATTTGACCTTTGCCTTATCTGACATCCATAGACAAATTTCTAACGACGAAAAAAAAAACAAAGATCAATTTAACGTAATCCTTTTTTGGTCCTATAGTACCTCTCTTATACTTCGGCGTACCTTTTTAACCACAGCGTCTCTTGTGAACCTTGGCGCCCCCTTTTAGATCTCGGCACCCCTGAACCTGCCCCTAAGACCCGTAATGAGCTTGACGATATGATAAACGTGCACGGAAATATAAAAAATCTACCTACTTATAAATTATAATAGCGCCCATTATCATAATATTATTCATTGTTGTCTATGATAACTGTACCATAGACATCTTTCAATTTGTTTACAGATGGAACCCAAATCTAATTTCTGTATATAAATAAAAAATAATTAACTTTTTTTAAATTTACGTTACGAAGTCTAGATAAAAGTTCAACCCGTAAACATTCAATTTAAAAGACGATTGAAAAATTAATTAAATGGTAACCTGAATAATTTCCATTACCTTGACACGCCAAAACTACAAAAACTGTCGTATTTAGCCACGACAGCGACCTCGGCCCGATGAATTGTGTTGGTGTCGTGCGCAATATCTAGACAGAAGCTCCAGTTCAAATTAATAGACTTGTCAAGCCGACAGTTGGGGAGTATTAATAAAATGCAGTATTTATTTATAAGAAACAGCTTGTTATGCTGTCGCCGCATATTTCAAGAAACACACTATAGATATAATAAGCATACATTTTAAATATAAAATAAAATGCGACCTGACAGTCACCTTGACTCTTGTGTATAGAATATTGAAGTAGAGTAGGTCCTTGAAACAAATTCAATCTAAAGAAATATTAGCAATATAATTTACAGTTTTCCAATGGACACGTGTAGTGTAGTAGTGCGAAGTAAAAAAGGGACGGGTGTGCCCCGAACTGTCATATAATCGTTCGGGACTTGCCAAATGGTTGACGCACGAAATTTTACTTTAGAACAAAGGCGTTGGGAAGCTGTTGTTCCTTATGTTGTAGTATTATATAGATCATATACATGTAGACAAAGTACCTCCCAACTAAAGTAGCCTTTTATTGAAAACGAAGCGCTTTTAAAATTCTATACCTACGTCTTATAACTAACTAATAGCTTCACACAAACTATAATTTGTTTTATTTATATTTATTTTATTTCACTTTCAAACTTTCGTGTACCATAACCCACCACGAGAGATTTGAACATGCAACATAAGAAACGTGCTTTGGGACTTTTTCTTACTTGATATTCCATCTAGATTTATATGATCTATATCAAATGCAAAAACAATCCTTATGTACCTATTCTAAATCATAATGTAAAAGTATGGCAGTAAAACTAATATATATGAATACAAGGTTGATAGATGTATAAACACAATAATTAAGTGTTTATTTATGAAGGAAGTGAAGTCTGATATGGTGTTAAATAGTTCATTATTAAGAGTAATTCCTGGGAATGATAACCTCGCCTGCGCTTTGGTTTATCCTGATTAATTCCTGGGAGTAATATAGTAACATAGAGTATAGAAAGCAAACTAGAACTATGTATATTTGTACAATTAAAACCCCTAAACTAAGGTGTTTGGCAAAGAATAAATAAAAAAGGAATTACTTTTCATTTCTAATTAAGCAATTTATAAAACAATCAGAAAACATAGGCTAACAAAACTGTAGGAAAAATTAGAATTAACTGTTATTATGGTAAAATCTAGAATAATAACATCTGTTCAGATGGAGTACCTCACTACAAACAGCTCGCCAAATTAATCTATTTTTTATGTATATATTTTATGTATATTTATATCAGATATCACACGTTATACGATTCGTCTGTATATGTTTGAATATAAAAACCAAAATGTTTACAATTATTACTTAAAATATCGAAAGGTGGCGCGTTTATATTAGAACTAAAAATCAGCCAATCAACCAACAGTTGACCGACTGTTTTTAGAGCGTTTTCGACACTTAACGCTCCATCTAGAAATGTTATAATCTAGGCAAATTACATTAACACAGATGTTTGTAGAGTCTTTATTTATTTATTAATTTAAAATAGGTACACCAACAGTAATATATATTATACATAAATTAATTTTTTTTGTGCATTGTACTGATATGTAAACCTATAGTTTCTTTTGCAATATGCGACGATGGCGGGACCTTAGTTTGTGCCAAATCGGGATACGAGAATTAAATCTAGACATGGTATTCAATGTTATTATGTACATCTATATATAGGCACGTACTTGCATTTCTACGTGGCAGATGGTAACGTGGCCTTTGACTATATACGGACATAGAGTTGAGAAGTAAAATAAAATGCATTGCACTAAATAATATTTTATAATTAGTAACGCATAGTAGCTTTTTAATTGTTTTACCATTTAAATACCCTTAATGTTTTACCAGAGGGAGATTTTGTACAAAAGTCGTTTGCTTGAGCACCTCTGTCCCATTCGTGTTTCTACCGTGAAGCGGTTGTGTTTGCATGGCTGTGTTTCGGTTTAAAGGGATATGGCAGTGAGTTTACAGGCTACAAAGGAATAACACTTGAGTCCTCAGGGATGGCAACGCATGAGGGGTATCATGGGCGAAACTGTATACTCTGTTATGTCCATGGTACTGCTCATGTCTATAGGCGACGGTTACCACTTTCCATCAGGTGAGCCGTCAGCTTGTTTGCCATTGTAAGTTGCATAAAATAAAAATAATATTAACTAATGTTAAAAAATAGTTACAGTATACAGGGTCTCATACAGGGCCACGACCCAGTTGACCCTTTATGATTAGACACGAATAAACTTAAACAAGTACATTACTTATATGAGCACAATTGTATATCAATGGGACAGAGGTACCATCAAGCAATCGACTTTTGCACAAAGTCTCCCTCTGGTTGCCTTCTTTGTTATAAAAAAAAGTCTATTTAAAACTTTAAATATTGCCAAATAAAAATGACGACCTGAAACTATTAATTATTTAATATTTCCCTCTTGACATAAGATTAAATTAATAATTACATTCTTTAATCCTAAATTTACTGTCTACTAAAATAAATCCACGAAAACAAATAACATTGAAAAACTGTACACTTCTTAACTAATTGCTGAATTATAAAATTTTGTATCCCGATTTGACAAAACCAACATTCTAACTAGAGTTAGCGTAAATTAGTGGATTAAGTATTAGATTGAAGCGAATGAGATGTGGCGCAAGCCAGGCCTTACTGATCAGGGATGTCGCAAAGTTTAACGTATGTACCCGTAGCGTAAACGTTAGTTTAATCATTTTGTACTCGTGTAATGTAAATATATCAATAAAAAAACAATGATTATGACCTAAGTCTAGCATCTGCTTGCCGACGATCGTTAACTGTAATCTATTAAGATTCGTAATATGTAATCGTGATAATAAATGTAGGGTATACCTTTAAATTTAAAATGTCCCGTTGTTTTGTAATAGCACAAACTGCGATTAAATAAAGTGATTCGAAAGTTGTTTAATTGTGTTAAATTGCTGTTTGCATTGTCGAAATAAAATATCGGAAAAAAAAACTATTTTGTTCGTTTCATAATTCTTTTTTATAATTGCGTACCACTGCGAAGGGAATACAAGCTGACAACCCTACGATATAAGTGGTAATCGTGGTTTGTAGATAAAAAAAAATTGCATTGTGGTCCTGGCTTTTTTTTATTTTTAATGAATGATTATGGAATGGTAGCCCCGCCTACGCTTTCAGTATACACCGGTTTTTTTTTATGGGTGAAAATGGTATGGTAACCCCGCCTGCGCTAACAGGATACGCTAGCGGAGCACCAGTGAAGGGTGATAGATGAGAATGAAAATTGGCCAGTTAGCCCATCATGATGAATTCATCAGGAATTAACCATGATAGTTTACAGGGAGAACCGCGAGGAGGTCGACCTGGTTGGAATATACATAGCAATGGGATTCTCGGTCTCCATTACTAATAATCCCTTTCCCCTCGGTATACACCGGTTGGGCACCAGTGAGGGATGATAGATGAGGATGAAAGAGCAGGTCAGTTAGCCCCGTCGTGATAAATATACCTGGAATTCAGCACAATGGTTTCCAGGGGGGACCACATCATCATTTCAGCCATTATCCGTCCACTGCTGGACATAAGCCTCCCCCATAGACTGCCATAAAGAACGGTCCTGAGCCACCTGCATCCACTGACTCCCTGCAACGCATTTCAGGTTGTCATTCCATCTAGTGGGGGGTCGTCCTATATTGTATTTGCCCATACGGGGTCGCCACTCAAGGACCTTTCTTCCCCATCGGTTATCGGTTCTTCGAGCTATGTGACCAGCTCATTGCCACTTCTACTTGCTTATCCTGGGGTTATGTCGGTTGCGTTATTTCTTTTGCGGATATCCTCGTTTCGGATTCTATCACGCCAAGAGACTCCGAGCATAGCCCTCTCCATAGCCCGCTGAGTAACTTGTAGCTTTTGCATACGGGCCATGGACCATGCACCATAGGACCATGGTTCGGTTCCATAAGTTATCACTGGCAACACTATGCTATGTAATACTTATACAATATTGTTATTGTAGCTTGAAATACAATATCTTACAAAGATTACTAGAATCAACTGTAATCCAATATGATACGTACCTATCGTATCAAATCGCGTCCAAGTATTTATAAATGTTACACTTTTATAGTAAGGCATAAAATAGCTGACATATGCTTTTTTTATGGCTGAAAATGGTATGGTAATCCCACCTGCGCTAACGGGATACGCTTGGCGGAGCACCAGTGAAGGGTGATCGATGAGAATGAAAACAGGCCAGTTAGCCCATCATGACGAAAATCTGTATTTATTCAATGTATTCTCTTAGCAAACTATTAAAATATTTGGTATCGTAATGATAGCAATTATTGTGGTTAGGTTTTTTTTTTCAATTAATGATAATGGCATGGTAACCCCGCCTGCGCTAACGATATACGCTGGCAGGGCATCTGTGATAGATAGGTGAGAATGAAAACAGCTCAATTAGCCCATCGTGATAAATACACTTGGAACTCAGCACGATGGTTTCCAGGGGCGACCACGTGGAGGTCGATCTGACAGGGTACATTGCTAGCAATGGGACTGGTAGTACAATGCTTTCCCCCCGCTGTACCAATATTACCTATGTCTACAGTACAACAAATGTACCTTTTATAAGATAAAAGATAACACTGAATAGCTATTTTTTTGCCATTTCCATCGTGTTCTAGATATAGTTTTAAATTTTGTGGTAATAATAATGTTATCTTTGACCGTTTCCGACACATTGATAACAGAATTACGTACCTACTATATGAATTACTAGGTATTTTTTTTATACAACTTAGAATGGCAAACAAACTGACGGCCCACCTGATGGAAAGTGGTAATCGTCGCCTATAGACATGAGCAGTACCATGGACATAACAGAGTATACTGTTTCGCCCATGATACCCCCTATGCGTTGCCATTCCTGAGGACTCAGGTGTTATTCCTCTGTACCCAGTAAATTCACGCCATATCCCACCGTTCAAACAGAAACACAGCCATGCAAACACAACTGCTTCACGGTTGAAACACGAATGGGACAGAGGTACACAAGCAATCGACTTTTGTACAAATGATGAATGTATACAAATAGAGTCGAATACCACTGCGATTTATTTATACACACTTCTTTCTAATAATAGACCGCCCCATTCGCAGTCAATTCCCGAACGATCTGTTTAGATATTTTCCACCAGCCTCTAAAATTAAATCCCACGGATACTAAAATAAACTACAGTTGCTCATTGATACAAGAGAATCCTCTAGAGACGTAGAGTACGGTATACAGAGTGTATGCTCTAAATAAAACGAAGGTTTTTTTTTTTTATTAAAGTCAATTAAAACATACGTATTGATTAGCTTTAATAAAATTATTATTAATAATGTGGAAAAAATTATAATAATAAATTTATTTACATTAAATAGGGTAGGTATCGGTGGTTTTATATAGCATGCAAATGTCACATTTTGGTAGATTAATTCATGCATCGACAACTATACTAGATATTTATTTTTTATTTCTTTTTTTTTTTTATTTCATTTACCTATTAAAAGCTTTTATTAAGTAACATTTACGTAATTTAATTTTTTTACTGTAAGTTCCTTTATATCCATAGGAATAAAGAGATTTTTAAAGACATATTAATTTATCTAATAATAAATCTGTAGAGGTCAATTCTGTACATGAAATATATTTCCAAAATAACTATCAGGGGGTGATTAGTGATCGATACTGATGCCAAAAATGAAATCAGTAAAATTTTTGTCTGTCTGTATGTTCGTTATAGAAACAAAAACTACTCGACGGATTTTAACGAAACTTGATACAATTATTCTTCATACTCCTGGGCAAGTTATAGTATACTTTTCATCACGCTACAATCAATAGGAGCAGAGCAGTGAAGGGAAATGTGTCTGTTATATCTAAACCACTGAACCGTGAGAAAGGACATAGGCTACTTATTTTACAAAAAACGACGGAAACGCGGACGAAGTCGCGGGCAACAGCTAGTGTTTAATAAAGGCGATAATAGTTAATAAAGGACTTATTTAAAATTAATGAGTGAATAAGTAGGTAGGTGTACAAATATTAAAAAAAATTTCGGAACTATCATGATGCTAATACTCATTATGATGATAAAATAGACGCAGTTTATAAACAGCTGAGAAAACAAGGCACGGGATACCAGACAGCCTTGAGGGACATTTCAGAATTCAGAATTGACAGATACAGTTTGCATTTTGTAATCTAGGATTCGGAATAACTTTAATAATACAATAAATAAGAAAATTACTATGTCTATGGTTTTTACGCGACGGATATACGTTAGCCTCACCCAAAAACTATAAGGATTCGAATAAAATTTCATATACACACAATATGATGATATGGTCACATTCTAATTTAGCAAATAGGATACTGGTAAATATAGATTAGTTTTAAGGCTGGCCGCTTGCCTGAGATCAAGCCTCTAGGAATTATAATGGGTATATAGTACAATGAAATCTGTATATAAGCAACCTCTCTTCAAGCAATATACTTTTTATATATTTTTTTTCTTATTATATATATTTTTTTTTATTTTATTCTACTCAGCTTAGTAAAAAAAATAAGTAAAAATATTTTCCAGACAAGTATTTTTATACTCCTTTTTCCCTATAAGCAACTTTTTCCATAATATCCCATAAGATTTTTTTTATTGAAATTGGTTCAAATAAGTTGATTATATAAGAGCGTCATTGAACGCTATAAAATAAAAATAGAGAAACAAGTATCTCGCGACTGGAGCTTGTGGCAGTGAGACCTACAAAGGAGTCAATTCCGATCACAAAGTATTCAAAACCAAAGCGTAACAGTACATTTTAAAACTGAAGCGGTTGAAAAGAAAACAAGGCAGGTAAGATTAATGTTTTATTTCAATTAAATTATGAGCGCCAACATCGCAATCATAATCAACGATAGATTCGCGAGGATGGAACGTGAGACGAGTTGTGGAATGTGTTTAGTCGACCTCTTCGATGGTGGGGCCGGCGCCGCCGCCCGCGGCCGCTCCACCCGCGCCGGGAGCTCCGCCGGGGAAGCCGGGCATACCACCAGGCATGCCGCCGGGAGCACCACCAGCGCCCTGGTACAGCTTCGTGATGATTGGGTTGCAAACGCCCTCCAATTCCTTCTGCTTGTGTTCGTACTCCTCCTTGTCAGCCAGCTGGTTCGAGTCCAACCATTTAATAGTATCATTGCACTTATCTAAGATGGTCTGTTTGTCGGAGTCGCTGATCTTGTCCTTCAGCTTCTCGTCCTCCATGGTCGACTTCATGTTGAAGCAGTATGATTCGAGAGCGTTCTTGGACTGGATGGTCTCCTTCTGTTTCTCATCCTCATTCCTGTACTTCTCTGCCTCGTTAACCATGCGCTCGATTTCCTCCTTGGAGAGACGGCCCTTGTCGTTGGTAATGGTGATCTTGTTCTCCTTATTGGTGGACTTCTCTACTGCAGATACATTTAGGATACCGTTGGCATCGATATCGAAGGTGACCTCGATTTGTGGGACGCCGCGGGGCGCGGGTGGAATACCTGTCAGTTCGAATTTACCGAGGAGATTGTTATCCTTGGTCATGGCACGCTCACCCTCAAATACTTGAATGAGCACACCAGGCTGGTTGTCCGAGTAGGTAGTGAAGGTTTGCGTTTGCTTGGTTGGAATGGTTGTGTTACGCTTGATCAGTGTGGTCATGACACCACCAGCTGTCTCAATACCGAGAGATAGAGGAGTCACGTCGAGCAACAGCAAGTCCTGTACCTCCTCAGACTTGTCACCATGTAGAATGGCAGCCTGGACAGCTGCACCATAAGCAACGGCCTCATCGGGGTTGATGGATTTGTTCAGCTCCTTTCCATTGAAGAAGTCTTGAAGGAGCTTCTGTACTTTAGGGATACGGGTGGAACCGCCAACAAGGACAATGTCGTGGATTTGGGACTTGTCCATTTTGGCATCACGAAGGGACTTCTCTACAGGCTCCATGGTGGATCGGAATAGATCCGCGTTCAATTCCTCGAAACGGGCCCTAGTGATTGAGGTATAGAAATCAATACCCTCATACAATGAATCTATTTCAATGCTTGCCTGGGTGGATGAAGAAAGAGTTCTCTTTGCCCTTTCACAAGCTGTCCTTAAACGACGGAGTGCTCTTTTGTTGATGGTAAGGTCCTTCTTGTATTTCCTCTTGAACTCTTGGACGAAATGGTTGACCATTCGGTTGTCGAAGTCCTCTCCTCCCAAGTGCGTGTCACCAGCGGTAGACTTTACTTCGAAGATACCATCCTCGATGGTCAGAATGGATACATCAAAGGTACCGCCGCCAAGATCAAAGATAAGGACATTGCGTTCTCCACTTCCCTTCTTGTCCAGACCGTAAGCAATCGCAGCAGCAGTCGGTTCGTTGATGATTCGGAGAACATTCAAGCCAGAGATGGTACCCGCATCTTTTGTGGCTTGTCTTTGAGAATCGTTGAAGTATGCTGGAACCGTAATTACTGCATTCTGCACAGTTTTACCGAGGTATGCCTCGGCTGTTTCCTTCATTTTTGTAAGCACCATTGAACTCACTTCCTCGGGGAAGAAAGTTTTGTCTTCACCTTTATATGCCACCTTTATCTTTGGTTTGCCTCCATCACTGACGACCTCGAAGGGCCAGTGCTTCATGTCAGCTTGTACAGTAGCATCCTCGAATTTGCGGCCAATGAGTCGCTTAGCGTCTGTAACAAACGAAACGAGATTCATTAACAAATCCGGCAATAAAATCTATTAGATATATTTTTTTATGGTTACTCAGATTATTTTTCTCAATCAATGTGTTCAGAGACTCTAGTCTAGTATATTGGGTTATCATCATGAAAATCACTTAAATTAATATGTAATATTTCAAATTATTATTGGTTCCTATCACATTAGTTGGTTGTTGATAGTTTTATATTTATTACAATACCAGAGGGAGACTACAAAAATTATTTGCTTGTGACTTCTGTCCCATTTGTGTTTCAACCGTAAAGCAGTTGTGTTTGCATGGCTGTATTTCGGTTTGAAGGGTCACCAGAGTCCTCAGGAATGGCAACGCATGGGGGTATCATGGGAGAAACAGTATACTCTGTTATATCCATGTTACTGCTCATGTCTGTAGGCGACGGTTCCCACTTTCCATGAGGTGGGCCATTAGTTGTATAAAAAAAAATTATAATTACATATAGAAATATTAATTATCAATATGCCTGAAAACCAGTCATCGAGTTTTATTTTTGAAACGTCAAATACAAGGAATCTGTACTGTTGTGAATGTGAATGTGAAAGGGACTCCATTTTCCGCACTTAGCCTCTCATTTGGGCCATTGTGCGTATGAGTCGTGGCTAGTGCAGCCAACCTAGCTCCGTCCAGAAGCGCAGAAGCTTTCCTGAACGTTGATGGGCCACAGCCTCACATTCCAGGATTACGTGAGCAGCCGTTTCTTCGGCGTTGAAACAGCCTCGACATAGAGGGCTGTCTGTGGCTCCTATTGTGTATAGATGTTTGTTTAATGGACAATGACCCGTTATTGTCCCTATCATTGTTTGTCTGTTATTTACACACCGCCAAATGAGAGTCCCACTGCTATGGAAAATTATTTATTTTAGACATTCTAAATGATACGTATGTATTATGTACATGAAGTAAACAAAGTAATTTCCTTTCTCCATTAATTAATTATTAAAGAAAGAATAACTAAAATCAGTTCAATAATTTTAATATCTAACCTAGCAATATAGCAACAAAATTTAAACATGAATGAATGTAAACATACATTTCTTAACTGATTTCCTAGTTACGAAACTAGGAAGAATGGAAGAATTAGTCACAGCATCAATGACAGATCAGATGCTTCCTTGCAATGATGACTCATCATGAGTCATTCATTAGCATCAACTAATCATTATCAAAAATGTATAATGAAAAAAAATCCAAAGATTTAAAAACAAAATTGCAATAATTGTGACTATGTTGTAAAACAAATTTTTTGTCACTTATATAAAACTCATAATTGTGCCGTCTGTGTGTACAAGACCTTGTTATTTGTGTTAATGGGTTACAAGGTCCACTACTGAAATCAATAAGTCTGAACATACATGTCTCTTATGGTAGTTACCTTGCCACATAGGTATTTAGTTTCCATTATTTTACAATTATGCTTGCATTATATAATACATATGTATTAAGAGGAATTGAATATAACATAGTAACTGCATTAATAACTTGATTCATAATTCATAACCTGAGGTCACTTGTAAGTTTCTACTTTGTACTCGTTATATACTTTAATTAAAAATGCCTACCAATTAAAATTATCATTTGATACAAATAATTTAGTCTATAGTACAATATACTTAATGACATAATTCATTATGATTTATATAATTAGTAACTTATACATAAATTAAGATCAGAGGTCATTTGTAATAATGACAATTAAAAATCAAGTGCTAATTAGTTACTTGTTTATGCTGGTAGTTAGGTACTATCAGCATAATGAGGGGAAAGGGATAATAATGGCAACTGAGAATCCCATTGTTAGCAATATAGCCAACCAGGTTGACCTCACGGTTCCCCCTGGAAACTATCATTGTTAATTCCCGATGAATTCATCATGATGGGCTATAACTGGCCTGATTTCATTCTCATCTATCACCCTTCACTGGTACTCTGCCAGCGTATCCCATTAGCACAGGCGGGGTTATCATTCCATTTTCACCCATAAAAAAAATTACCATCATACTGATGGGAAAAGGATTGTTAATAATGGGGTAAAATAACCCCATTACTAGCAATATACCACGTGGTTCCCCCTGGAAACAATCATTGTTAATCCTAGTTGAATTTGTCAGGATGGGCTAACAGACCTGCTTTCATCCTCATTTGTCACTTCACACTGGTGCCTCGTCAGTGTATTTTGATAGCACAGGAAGGGTTACCATACCATTATCACCCATTAAAAAAAACTACCAGCATACTAATAATATAACAAACATACCAAATTTTATATGTCAGGTTTTATTGTATTTTAGTGTACATTTTTAAACTAAAGTAGTAGAAACTAAAGTATTATTCATAATGAACAGGAAAATTACAGACACAAAAGGCAAAGACTTGTTTTTTAATATGAAATTAAGCATGTGTTCCAAGTATTTAATGTTGTGACCAATTATGCTTTTTTCATTATTTTGTCATTATAAAAACATTAATACATTATTATTGGTTAGTGGACCAAATGTATGAAGTTGGTAGCTTTCAACATTAGAATACCTTCAACCTCTTGGTACCAGTAAAAAGGTAAACCAATAACCAAAAAATTCCACATATGCATACTCTTTCAGATAAAGAAGAAATAAGCTACTGCTTATCTGAGTCAATCAATAGGTACATCCCGATCATGCAGACGAAGCCGCGGACAAAAACAACTTTAGAATGAGAACTCACCAAAGATTGTGTTGTTGGGGTTCATTGCCACCTGGTTCTTGGCAGCATCCCCAATCAGACGCTCGGTGTCTGTGAAAGCGACATACGAGGGCGTGGTCCTGTTGCCCTGGTCATTGGCGATGATTTCGACCTTGCCGTGCTGGAACACACCCACGCAGGAATACGTGGTGCCCAAATCGATACCTACTGCGGGTGCTTTTGCCGCCATCTAAACAAAAAAAAAATAGCAGTCAATTACCCGAAAATCAGGGCTGTAGAGTTTAGTTACTTTGCCTTCACCTTTGTAATGTTTATTTTTTAATCACAATGTTACTAAAAAAATGGATATCTTGAACAAATTATTATTGAATCACTTTATCAGCATAGACAAATAAAAAAAATCGGTCAATGGATACCCTAAAACCAAAAATCGGTCCTTAATTATTAAAAAAATACCTACAATAAGTACACTACCACAGTAAGCTATTCCTTTTTTATGTGAATTAACAGTCGATTTAAAAGTAGCACAAAACTAAAATTTTTATTGATACTAAAGTCGTAAATCTCAAATTAGTGGGTGAGAAAACTAGAATATAGCAACGAGTTCGTCGCCCGCATACAATGATAACCTAACCTCAATGCCCACTCATTCTACATCCGTTAAGTAGGTACATGGGGAATCCGCCATTTTAAAACCAGAATAGATTATGTGAATTTAAGCGTGGGTCGTTCGCGCCATAAATGTCTAAGTAGAGAATGTAGACGAATGAGTAATAATTGCATAGCTTTGCAGATGGTGCGGGGTGGCGGCGGCGGCCATCATGGAAAAATCAATGAGAATGTTCTCGAATGTGGCACGTGGAATTTTCGCCTTGAATTTCTACGGAAATACAAACTTAAAAATGCAAATAAAATAATATTATTCTAAGAAATATAAATAGACTGTACAGATTTCTGTAGGTTAAGTACAATTCAGTCTACTTCGTACTACCACGTGAAAATTGAAATACAAATTTGACAATAATTCCAAACGCATTTTCAAATAAATATGTACAGGAAGATTTTATGCAATAATTGTCTACTTCCAGACATGACTAAAAAACAATGAATTCGAATGTAACAAAGATCAAAATCAGGCGTGTCACTAATAATAAACTAAAAAGCCCCTTAAAGATATCCACTGACCAAATTTATGGAAACCACGATAAATATAAATACAGGTAATCGAAAACAACAAATTATTAACAAAAAATATAAAAAGAGATACTCACTTTGTCTAATATTTAGCTTCGTTGACTTAAAATAGTAACACTCGGAAAACGTGCGCGATTGACTAATTCTCCGTTAAAACTAAAATGGTGTCGACTCGACGAAGTATAGTTTATATTTCACAGGAAGTGTTTCCGTATAGTGAAGCAAAAAGTTACTCAATAATATTATAAATATTTATGACAAGCACACATGAAGTTTGTAATTGATTTTTATTAATTAAGTACTCATATAGTATTTCATTTTAAGTAAATAAAATAAATAAAAAATTATATGCATATTTGTAGATAAAAATATATTTACAATTAAAAAAAATATTTCTTCGTAGGATTTCTTAATGTAAAAATTAGTTCATCTATTTTATCCACTTTTAGTGCCTTAACAATTCAATGTGTCATTAAATCGATATTTTGAGCCTCACTCATTGAATTTTAAAAAAGTCGACATCTATTTACAACACACACACACACACACATTTTACATACATCTATATAAATTTTTCGAAATATATATCACGAATTATATTCAAAAATAAGAAAATAAATAGTGATGATTCAATAGATTTAGGATAAAAAATAGAAAAGACTTTTTAACACATTGATCTGACTTAATTAGATTATTTTTCATGAATGCACACTATTTATTTTTAAAATAGGCTATTTATTTTTATCCCATTTAATCAACAGCGTCCTTTAATATAGATGAAATTTTACCACGGGCATTTATTACATCGTATTTTTTTAATGGATGATAATAGAATGATAACCTTGCCTGCGATAACGGTATACGCTAGCAAGGTATCTGTAAGGGTAAGGGTCTGATAAGTCAGTTAGCTCATCATGACGAATTCAACGATAAATTAGTCACAATAGTTTCCACGTGGAACCGCGTGGAGGTCGACCTGACAGGGTATACTGATAGCTGTGGAGTCTAACTTTCTCATTACTTACAACCCCTTCCCCCTAATATTGCACTGTTCAGATGCTTCAGTATTATTTAAAAACTAGTTTTTACCCGTGACCCGTCATCCATATTACTAAAATTAATTTAATGGAATAAAATTTATTTTATTCCATTAAATACGCTTTAGCGTAGTCTATCTCAAATAATATATTTATACTAAACTTCATGACGTTTGATAGAGTCACCAAAAGGCCAAGAGACAACAAATAAACAAACTCACTTTCACATTTCAATTATACTAAGGACTTTTCTTTTGTAATTGTGTGTATCGTACTTTGTTTGGAATAGTATTTAATGTTTATCGGGTTTACACCATAATTTTTTTCTTAGTTACACTATTTGTAACTAACATGAAAATAATTTAGCTGGAAACACTTGTAAATAGTATTTTCTGGAATATTCCTGAATGATAAACCAATAACATTCCTTCCCCCCGACGCCGAACATTCTGATTGGCTGAATTAATTGACATGTGCAGTGTCATTGTCAAGTCAATGTAGTTGCAACCAGATTCATGTCACTTTGATTAAAATAACTTTTATATATATTCTATGCAAACAGTTAATTGATACAAAAAATTTCTTTGTAAAAAAACTACTTTTTTTTTGTAATAATTATGGAAATCGATATTTTGATTATCTCTTTGGAGGCAGCTCTCAGACGCTATTTTTCTAAACCTATCTCTAAAAATTAAATTTCAACTTGATATCACAGCGAAATATTTTTTTAAGAACCATTATGAACTAAATTTGTAATAGATTTCAGTCAAAATTATTATGAATTTAATTTATTATTGTCGATAAATCAGTAATTTTGCGAAGTTATTATAATAAAATAATAAGTTAAGAGAAAGGATGAAATGATGCCTCAAAATAGACCTCGTTATGTTGTAAAATTTATTTTATTCTGTAAACACATTACACTTGGTTACATATATTATTTTCCAGTTTCATCAATATAAAAGCACTGTCAACTTTTAAATAATGTCGTACGTCGTGAATCGTCATGACATTTCTAGTCTAGAATTCTAGATGGATTTTGCTAGTCTATACTAGTATAACCTATTTTTTATCATTTTTATTTATTAAAGATTTTTCTTTTGTATATTAAAGAATGTAGTAGAATGCATTCCTTTATAAACCTTAGTTACTCTATAATCTAAATTTAAATTTATTCAAATTTACCATTTTAACACAAAGAAATAACAGGTAGGTTACTTTTTTTATGAGATAATGTAATAGTAACTAAAATAAAAAATAGACCTGATTGACGATAGGTTAGGTTAGTTTGCCCATTGTGACGAATTCAGCATGAGTTAACTACTATAATTTCCAGAGAGAACCAAATGGGAGCCGATCTAGCAGGATATATTTTGTAATACGAATTTTATAAATGAATATGAAATCTTTTCCTCTATAATATGTAAGGATAGAAGCAACTCAGTTGACTTGTCGTGACAAATTCGAGTAATGCGCATTAAGATCCCGTTACAATCCCTACCTTCAGGGAGGAATGGGATTGTTAGTAATGGGGTAAAATAACCCCATTACTAGCAATATACCCTGTCAGATCAACCTCCAGGTGGTTCCGCCTGGAAACCATCGTGATTAATTCTAGTTGAGTTTGTCAGGACGGGCTAACTGTCCTGCTTTCTTTCTAATCTGTCATTTCTTACTGGTGCCTCGCAAGTTTATACAGATAGCGCAGGCGAGCCTACCATTCCCCTTACTAAGATAAGAAGATTTCATTTTAAAATGAGTGAGTAAAATTCCTTGCATGACTAAAGAATAGAATGGTCGGGAATGAATATTTATTATAAAAAAGAAAAAGAAAAATTATTTTTATTCAAGTAATTATTCTTAAATAGTAATTTTAGAGTAGATACCAGCAAGGAATAACCTGTCACTTTCAAATAAAAGCTGATTTTACAAACAAATGTGAATTTGTCAGTAGTTGCTGTGCTGAGCAGGTGGATTGACAGTAGCAGTTAAGACTTTATGCTAGAATAGAATAGAATAGAATAGAATAGAAATCATTTATTCAAATAAACTTACATTGAAGCACTTTTGAAAAGTCATTACATTTTTTTTAATTTACCGCTCGTTCGGAAAGCTGTCTCATCACAAGAAGAACGAGCAAGAAACTTGCGTGATGCTCTTTTAAATAATTTTATTATTATTTTACATTTTTAAGTTTAATTGTGTGAATACAAACCACCAATTAGCACTAATTCAATTAAATACTCAAAAAGAAAAAAAAATTGAATACATAACCAACTGGTTAAACAATTAATAAGAGGAAATCAGTCATAGTGATTAGAGCAGACCAGTCCCTACAAGCAGCACCCGTTCACGAGTATGACGGATGAGCCAGCCATCACTGCGCTCGACCATATTTTAGGGATGACCCGGCCCACCACGCCGCCACAAGTCTGGACATTTTAGTGAGCATGACTACTCAAAACACTAGACCACGTCAAAGCTACTCACAATTGCCATCTGATAGTTATAGTATTCACATTTTACATAAGAATGCATGCGGCAATTAATACAAAAAACCGCTACGCTTTCTCCAGGACTCCATGGTACTAAATTATAACAGCACACTTTAATTGAAAATTTATACTAGGTACTTGCATATAGGTACTTCCTATCTTTTAGGATACAGAAATAATAAAAGCTTTTTAAATATATTTTTATTGTAAACAATCCATAATAAATACAACAGTTCATATGATATCAGACAATTATGGCCATACACGACCGGCAGCGTGAGTTGTCTTATCATAAAATTTGAATGTACAAGCATACAAATCATTGTATGTAATAATTCTTGATGAATACATCACAATGGGCTAAAAACCTACTTACATCCTCACCTAACATACTGACGCTCTGCTAGGATATAAACAATGGTACAGATGGGGTTACCATTCTATTATCATCCATTAAAAATGAAACGATGATTTTTACAATTACTTATAACCAAAAACAACAAACAGGCATTAAAATAATTAAACGTGTTCTTTAACTAAAGCTACTTTTTGGCCAGTCAATTATTTATTTTATTTTTCAAATTTCTTTGTAGAAATAACCACAAAACTATAACATATTTAATTTTGTATATCCATCTAATGTAATTAGAAACAGGTTATTAAGATCTTTCCTTAATTTTAGGTAAAAAAATTCAGGTAAAATTAACACGTGTATCATGAGTCATGATAGATATTGTTACGATGCACATTCATAACTTCTAAAAGGATTTCTCTGGAAGCTTCTTTTAAAAATGCATAGACCAAATAGAAGTGTTCTCTCTATTTATAAAAAAAAACAGTCAAGAATAATAGTCAGGTTCTTGAAAGTGCATCAACCTTGAATCTGCTGGAGATCTGCTATTCATATATGTGTAGCTACTTGTCAACGATTCTTTTATGCATTTAGTAAACAATCGATTGCAGTAAAAAGACCGATAAATCGAATGAAGAATCTATGTATCTACTATATGATTCATATCGAATCGACAAGAACTTTCTGGATTCTGGCTCTGCGAGTATAAAGATGAGTAACATACGATCAAACGACAATTTTGGTATACAAGCGATGGCAATTATTATATATGTTAAGCGAAAAATAATTATATATATATATATATATATATATATCTTTTTTGCTTCTGGATATATCCAGCGAGCTATAATCCAGAAAGTTCTTGACGATTCTGGATGAGTAGGTACTAAAAAGTTAGTCGATCTTTATACTCAATTAAATTATTTATAAAATGCTTAAAAACGTATAGCAATGCATCTATACTATCTATAGATATAGTAAGTAGGTATACTCGCGGTTCAAGGTCAATGCCCTTTCCAAAATCAGAAACTCAAACGATTTACATTTATAGTCTATGCGTTTTGATACTTCCAGAACAATTCTTTTAAAAGTTATAAAGGTGAATCGTAACAATATGTAAATTAAATGTAATATAAAATTACTAAATAGGTAGAAGAACAAACAATTCCTTAAATTTAAATATATTCGATAAATAAATAAATAAATCGATCATGAGCGACTCGCACTTGGCCGATTTTTGGAGGCTGCGACCACAATCTACTGAGGGCTGGATCCGTGCCTATTATAGATACCTATAATCGGGTAACTAAACAGAATTGATTTGTACAAAATTATAAAATACGTACATACAAAAGAAATACTACAAGGAGGGAAGTCTTTACAATCTCTTATTACAAGTCAATAGCGCAAGTTTAAGTAAAAAATTTAAAATATTTTACGTCACGTCCGTTTTATTTAAAACAAGCTTTTACTCGCTACTTCGTCCGCATGACTGAGACATATTTATTGAACGAGATAATAACATTCTTCTCCATACCATACAGTATGTGTATAAGACATTTCATAGTGATTAGTTAAGCCGTTAAAACGTTATAAAGTAACAAACAGACTCACTACCACATTTGTGAAATATACACAATATTATTAACCCTTAAAAGCCTGATTTATTTAAATCAAATAAAAAAATATATAAGTGTATTTACTGCGTTTACTAATAAGGAAAAATAGTAAAAAAGGTCAAAATGATATTTTTATATATTTATTTTGAAAAAACATTTAGTATCATTTTTGATACTTTAGGCATTATGGTAATCAAAATATTCAAATTTATTTAACAACTAGCTGACTCGGTAAACGTTGTTTTACCATATACATTATTTCTAGAATTATACATGAAAATTCATCGTACTACAATTATTATTTTCGATTGCCATCTTGCAACCCTATTACGTAACATAAAAATCACGAAAATTTGAAGTTGTATGTATTTTTCAATGATAAAGCATAAAAAAAATGTCAAAAAATAAAAAAGAAATTAAGTGTGGGTCACCCTTATCATTGAGGGGTATGAAAAATAGATGGCCGATTCTCAGACCTACCCATTATGCACACAAAATTTCATAAAAATCGGCAAAGCCGTTTCGGAGAAGTTTGGTAACAAACATCGCGATACGAGAATTTTATATATAAGATGAAACAATGCGGTTTGCATTGTTTCATCTTATATCAAATTTGAAACTTCAGGTATTTAAGGGTAAAGGAGTATTACTTGTTTCCTATTGACTTGTATAAAGATGACACAAATATCCAAATACCTATAGGTACATCGAAATCTTACGAAGCAATATACATTATCCATTTTATTATCATATAGATGACATAAAAAAAAAAAAGAGATAGACCATAGACATTTAAATCCACATTTTTTTTATTAAATTCCTAGACATTTTTTTTTCTTTATAACATCACTTTATTATATTAAATATCTAGTAAAAACACATCATTTTCCTGCTGTTAACCCATATCATTTGAAATCAAGATAATTATATATTTTTTTCTTGTCTATTCATCTCTTTTTAAAGTCAATACTTCACTTCCTTTCTGTTTATATCGTTCACACAATTCATTCATCTCTTTTTATATCTTTCTCTATCCTAATAATCATGAAGGGGGGGGGGGGGGGGGATTGCTAGTAATGAGGTCTAACTGACCCATTGCTAGCAATACACCCTATCAGGTTGACCTCCATGCGGTTCCCCCTGGAAACCATTGTCGTTGGACTAACTGACCTGCTTTCATCGTTACCTATCATCCCCCACTGGTGCTCCGCCAGTGTATATCGATAGCGCGGGCGGGGTTACTATTCCATTATCACCCATTAAAAATATCATCAGGGGAGGGGGCTAACTGGCCTGTTTTCATTCTCATCTATCACCCTTCACTGGTGCTCCGCCAGCGTATCCCGTTAGCGCAGGCGGGGTTACCATACCATTTTCACCCATCAAAAAAAATAGTCTACCCATCTCTTTTTATCCTCCTCTCCTTATAACTTTTTATAAGAGACATCAAAAATCATATGAGGGTAAAATCCAGTTTTTTGGCAAATACGTAATAATAAAATGGATAAAGTACAAACATAGGGGCTTAATTGATACAGGACTAGGGTATGGCATCACGAGATTCTAAAGTACGTCTGGTAGCCGAGCCCCACCGACGTGGTGATGAACCACGCGAAGCAGCACCACCACGTCGCGAACCCGAAAGTTCCCCGGTACACCTCCTGGGTGAACACCTGGAGAAATGGAACATTCTGTTAATTCTTATTAATCCTTATAAATATAGAAGTAAAGCTTATTTTGTTACCTTTTAGCGCCTTAAAGGCTTAATCAATCACTATGAAATTTGGTATATACGTATTATATATGAGATACGAATGTACATATATAGAAAGCGGATAAAAAATAGTTACCAATATAAGATTTTTTTTTATACGACTTAGAATGGCAAACAAACTGACGGCCCACCTGATGGAAAGTGGTAACCGTCGCCTATAGGCATGAGTAGTATCATAAACATAACAGAGTATACTGTTTCGCCCATGATACCCCCCATGCGTTGCCATTCCCGAGAACTTGGGTATTATTGTTCTGTATCCTGTAAGTTCTAGTGAAGGTTTGAAGGGTGGGTTAGTCCATATCCCACCCTTCAAACCGGGGGGGGGGGAGGGATTGTTAGCGACGGGGTCTAACAGCCCCAATGCTAGCAATGTTACTAATCAGGTCGACCCTCACGTGGCTCCCCCTGGAAACCAACGTAGTTACTTCTCGTGGAATTCTTCACAATGGGCTAACTGACCTGCTTTCATCGTCATCTATCATCTCTCACTGGTGCCCCGCCAGCGTATACCGATAGCACAGGCGGGGTTACTATTACATTATTCTAGATACACAAACGGGACAGAGGTCCTTATTCAATTTTTATTTTGGTAAAAAGACATACCATTTTCAAATTCTCCCAAGCCAGTTGATATTGCTCCACACCCTCTGTGTGGGCTTCTCCAGCAGTGGGAGACACCTTGTCTTCCATGGTGCAGACCTCCTGGCTTTCGTAGAACAGCGCTGACCAGGAGTAGCCTCCGAGAGTCTTGTACATGAGCGCCAGGTATAGACACATCACAATTGGACATATGTATTGGAGCGCTACGACGCACAGGTAATAGAATACTGACGCGATCTGGAAGGTGGGAAATGATTTAATGAAAATTACTTATTTTTATTTTAACTTTAATGCACAGTAAATTTTTTTTTTTATACAGCTTAGAATGGCAAACAAGCTGACGGCCCACCTGATGGAAAATGGTAACCGTCGCCTATAGACATGAGCAGTGCCATCGACATAACAGAGTATACTGTTTCGCCCATGATACCCCCCCCCCCCCATGCGTTGCCATTCCTGAGGACTCAAGTGTTATTCCTCTGTACCCTGTAAATTCTCGCCATATCCCACCCTTCAAACCGAAACACAGCCATGCAAACACAACTGCTTCACGGTTGAAACTCTATGTACATTTGGCGGACTTAACACTGGACAGTGTTCTCTACCAGTCAACCATTAGGCAAACGGAGAAATACGTTTTGAATAGAGGAAAAGTGATAAATTATCATATTATTTTCTCTTCACAAAAAGCACTAAAAGGTACAGAGAAATTTGTACACAACCATGCAAACAACTGCTTCACGGTTGAAACACGAATTGTTTGTATTCTGTAAAATCGAACCTGAGACCCATGGATGATGAGGAGGTGTGTAAAAATAATTCAAATAGTATTCCAAAAAAAGTCGAAAAATAATGTATAAATGCCATCAATGACCTTCTTCTGCAAATCAATGTTCGTGATCCGGCCGGCCTCCTTCTTCTGCAGGTCGAGCCGGCGCTGCGCCATGTCGAGGTAGGCCTGCAGCTGCCGCGGCATCAGCGCCAGCCGCAGCACCACTGTCCCCACAACCAGCACCAGTCGCAGCGTGTCGAACGCGTCTGATGACATGCTGCGCAAAAAAAGCACTACCAGTTAAAATTACAGACAAGCAAATTGGCAGTAAATAAACAAAACTGTTTTACTTTATGATATTTTAAAACCTGGCATTACTTATTTTATTCATCATCAAATGAGATATAGGTATTCCTGTTATTTGATCTATATTTATATATTTATGCAATGTATGCGTTTAAAACATTTTTTATACCACTTAAATTTTTTTCTCCAACTGATATCAAATTAAATAGGGTGGTAAATCTGCTGTAAATTTTTGGCAGAAGGAACAAATTTCTCTTCTTTTTTAGTGTCTATATCTATATGGGAGGCCAATGTTCTTCAGTGGACAATCATCATCATCAAAATCATCATACCAGTCATTGGGTTGTCCGCAGTTGCCATGCTTAGCAGGCGGGTTGGCAACCACATTTATGCTTTGGTGAAATTTTAAGAGGAACACTGTTTTTTTTTTTTGATGGATGAAAATGGAATGGTTCCCCACCTGCGCTAACGGGATACGCTGGCGGAGCACCAGTGAAGGGTGATAGATGAGAATGAAAACAGGCCAGTTAGCCCATCATGACGCAAGAAATTAACCATGATAGTTTCCAGGGGGAACCGCGAGGAGGTTGACCTGGTTGGGTATATTGTTAGCAATGAGATTCTTAGAGTCTATTACTAACAATCCCTTTCCCCCCAAAGGAACGCTGTTGCCCATCTCTAGACCATTAAGTTCTCTTAATCGGCTCTTACGACAACCATAAGAAAAAAGGGGTGACCTATTCTATGCTGGGACTACATGACACAATCTCCAGTGAAAAATTAATGGTAAAAATAATTATGATACAATTCCAGTAATACATACAGAGGTTTCTCCATCCCGCTGAACACTCGAACAGTAAGGTAGTGTCTGGTGATTGGACGCACCCAGAGCAATACCAGCACAAACGGCATTGCAAAGTTTGCATTTAGCAGTAGCCCTTTTATTTTATTTTCACCGTAGTATCTGTAAGAGAAATAAATGTTGGTTTAAAATCTATCCTCTATATGCAAAAAGAATACTAACCCCGCCTGCGCGGGGGGAAAGGGATTGTTACTGATGGAGACTGAGAATCCCATTGCTAGCAATATACCCAACCAGGTCGACATCCTCGCAGTTTTTCCTGGAAACTATCATGGTTAATTCCTAATGAATTCATCATGATGGGCTAACTGGCCTGTTTTCATTCTCATCGATCACCCTTTACTGGTGCTCCGCCAGCATATCCCGTTAGCGCAGGCGGGGTTACCATTCCATTTTCATCCATCAAAAAAAAACCCCGCCTGCGCTATCGGTGTGCGCTGGAGGAGCACCAGTGAGAGATAATAGGTGAGGATGAAAGCAAGTTGGCCCAACATAACAGATCCTACAAGAATTAACCACTATGGCTTCCAGGGGAATCAAATAGAGGTCGACAATTTTTTTATGAATGAAAATGGAATGATAACCCCGCCTGCGCTAACGGGATACGCTGGCGGAGCACCAATGACGGATGATAGATGAGATTGAAAACAGGGCAGTTAGCCCATCATGATGAATTCATCAGGAATTAACCATGATAGTTTCCAGGGAGAACCGCGAGGAGGTCGACCTGGTTGGGTATATTGCTAGCAATGGGATTCTCAGTCTCCATTACTAACAATCCCTTTCCCCCTGGTCGACTAATTAAGTTGTATTACTGGCAATGAAGTTGTTAACACCCTTTTCTCTAGTAAAGATAGCTAGACTCACCCTCTTATAGGGAAGCAAAGATATAAAATTGATTAAAAGAGTAGGTGTTATAATCTTTTGTACTATACGAATGGCAAAATAGCAGGGAAACAAACGGCTATTGTGATCGTCGGCAGTGGATAGAATATATACTGGGTCACCTCTGGTCCTACTCATGCCTTGCCTCTTATCAGAGTAAGGTTGCTCTGCCAGTTGTGTAAATACATTTTATATTCTTTATGAGATCTCGGTGATATAGCAGTTTAACACACTGTCTATACATCTGATAACCCTAGTTTTAAATTAAAAATACAAATATTTGAATTTGTATGTTATTTTTTAAAAAAGTATATTTTAATTTTTAAAAAAATTATAAATAGTTGACAAGTTCCTCTTAATTGTGCACTAGATGGCGCTGATTCATATGTCTTCTGGTATTTAATACGATACAAAATACGCAAGGACTCACCTTAAAGAATCCCAATGCATTCTCGCTACCCTTAGACCTGGGAAAGTAAAAAGTGTACCAATAATGGCTGCCCAGATGGCTAGGAAGAATTTTAATATCAACTTGGATGCAGGACCTCTGAAAACGATAAGTTTATTATAAAAATGTAGGTACACAACTTCACATTAATATTTACATCGAGGCGTAAACACAATTATTTGAACTACACACATAATATACTACTATTATATCATATGTACTTCACCAATTTTGGTGACTTGACTGAATTAAATAATCTATAACACATGCATATATATTTCTTTTTTAATTGGTACTGTCCATCAATAAGTTAAAAGCTACAATATTAGCATCTTTTAATGTGAACATTCTTCTAATATTTTTTTTAAAGAATCATGAGTCTACCTGTTACAATACTTTCATTTGAGGTTACAATATGTACTTAATGAGTTCATGTAATTAGTGTGGGAAACTAGAAACTTTGTTCTTAATCTAAGTTTCTACAAGAAAAATGATGCATTCTACTGGTACAAATATGCTAATGTGTATAATGCTATGTGTATATTTCATCCCTTATATTAATAAATTATTGTTTTATAGATATCATTCACTGACTTACACAGAAGACAATCCTTGGTTCTCCAAGAATTTCGATGCATTTTCATAGAAACTGTCATATGCAGGATCCACCCCGACTTCCAGATTAGTGTCATCAACAATCAACACCATCATAGCAATCAGTAGAAAAATGCAAAATGCCACAATGCATGTCGATCTCTCACCAATCGATTCATCACTTGTGAAGTACTGTTTTGTCAGTGATAATAAAATTTTTCTGTATTTGAGTTATGGTTATAGATTTGTATGTTAAACTTAATTTTTGTCATGACTTTAAATGGTCAGAACATGTTTGTAAGCAATTGAAAATGTCAAACCAATTCACAGACTGATAATTGATTCCTGTGACGGAAAGTGGTAACTGTCACCTATAGACAAGTATATATTATAGTATCATGGATAGCATAAAAATACTGTGACAACCTTGGTGGATATATTTTCCTCTCATATGTTGCTATTCCTGTTGACTGAAGTATGAGTTATGGGGTTTCTATACCCAGTGTTATATACCTAATGAAAGGTTGTTTAGCCTCTGAATGAAATTTGGCATATAAAAAATTTGGGATGACAATATGACAAGGTCTAAGTACTTCTTGTCGCAGTCAATTATATTAATGTGCCAGTCACACAAATAAAACTGTGGGTAAAAACTAGTAGCATGATAAGTAAACTTGAATACTGATATTGAGAATAGTGAAATATATTTCTCTTGGAGATCTTATAAAAGGATACAGTGAAAACAATACCACTAAGAAACACCACACCATACTCAAGTTAAATTCATCTTTCAATGGAAATATTGATGTGTACACCTGAAAATGAATTAAATAATATTAATGAGTCAAATAATTAATTACAAAATATATTAACATTACCATTATTATAAAAAAAAAAATAGAAATAATTTACTTCTATACTGAAAATATGTAGCTAAATAGATACTTTATAACTGGCATAACACATCATCATGCATTAGCAAGAGCACCTGAATAGTTAGTAATGATGAATGAATAAAAGTATGAAAAATTGATGGTAAAAAATTATGCACATATACACTCTCACTATATATCAACAGGTGGCTGTGCACTAGTGTAGAATCTACAGTATTAAACTCACCTCTGACATAATATACACTATACTTGTATATAAAGAAAAATCTACAATCCACAAATATTCTGTATAAAATCTTAAATGTACCACATCTAGTGGAGTCACCGGCGCCGTTTCCAAATGTATATCAAGGCTACGGGGCACATGAAACGTCTCTGGCTTCCCATTAGAATCATTCTTACCCCCTTTCTTTCCCTTTGCCCTATCTTTTGGCACTCCTGCCAAAGCTTTCAATTCACTATTATCTGGATACAGGTATCTGTATAAACCTTGTGAACATAATAGCCACCTTGCAAACGAGTAGTCTCCTAATTTTTGAATCACTGACACCATTATCAGTGTAATAACAAGTTGAGCGCCGAGAAGGGCCTGTAAAGTAACAATACTCTGACAATAACACAGTAAATGAAATAATAAAAGGATTGTGACTTAATAAAATACTAATACACACCATTATGATTCCTTTTTCATTCAGAGTATAGGCTATTCATGGTCTAATAATAATTTATTTTTATTTCAAGCTTCAATTTCTAACCTCAATTCATAACTCCCACTCATATTAATTTGAGATAATAAAATTGAGGTGGCAAGTTAGAAAAGAAGGCAATAGTTATATATAATTTGTATTAGTGAAAACGAGAGAAACTGTGAAAATTGACACTTGTGCAAATATTTTATTCGGGTGCATAATGTCCGAAGGTAGTGTCAGTAGCATTTATAAATATTGATTCCATGAATTTAAACGTATTTTAAAATTCTATATAACATTACTAGTTATAGTCATGTACAGGTCGCAATTACAAGTAATTTTCTGATGTAGGCATTCAAAATAATTGAAAATATATTTTATCAAAAAAATACAACTTAAGTTAAAAAATATATACATTTTTTCTGAAACGATTTTACTATAACACTTTGTAAATGTTATATTAAAAAATCAATAGGTACGTTGTGAAAAAGAGACATAGCGATTACTAAAAAGAGATAGATTGATAGACAACGTGAGTGGTTACAGCAAAATAAAATACCCATATTGTGAGCAAAATATATAATTGCAATAACAGTAATGCATATTTCTATGTTATGCTTTTATCATCATGTGTATGATTTTTTTATTTATCGTGACTATATCACTTAAGAGAAGACCTGTAATCCTCATTAGTAACATTTTAGTCCTTAATATGTTCACAATAAATTACTAGACTAGTTTTGATTACGTGGATTTTTTAATAAATTTATAGTTATTGAAAATAGGTTAAAAAACTTATAAATAATTAGTGTATACGTAATGTAATGATAACGTAATGTACCTATATAGTGACAATACATATTTACTTTCGTTACATTTATTGCTGTTTTCATTCATTAATTACTATTATTTAATAAAAAAAAATATTATTATTAAAAAATAATATGAAGGGTTTTAATAAGACTAATATATCCCGAAACAATACTCTACAGAAATTTTGTCGCTCTGTCTGTTTATGTTTCTTCCGGTAGCACTGAAAACTATGGTACTATATTATTTTGGACGCGATATTTGCAGCCTGAAAGTCTGTCTTAAAATCTGATGTATATTTTATTTTGATATTCCATCTAGAAGTTTATCTACTTCTGAAATCTACACGTACGTAGTAGCGGGCAAAAAAATTAGTATATTAATATTTTCAAATCTAAAAAAATATTATAATTTGAAATAAATTTATTTATTCCTAATATATCCAAATATATTTACCAATCTATTTTAAATATTATTTTTGGTATGCCCAACATGCCTATATCATTATTCTGGTATATATATTTTTATGTAAATTCTTTATTTCGGATGAAATTTTATGAAAAATTAACGTTATTTCGTAATGTAGAGGAGTTTATATTTTTTTTATGTCATCCCTTCATTGACGTTTAACGCTGGTTCATGATTCGTGCATGCGACCGCATCGAAATCGTTCTGTTTCCCATCGCCGCGTTGACACTTGAACGGTGACGATATGAATTTGTCTCGGGTGTAAAAATCTTTATTATTGATTGATTTTCTCATTTAATTCGGTTTCGTCGCCGCCGAAGTCTGCTCGCAGACTAATGCGACGGAACCTTTCGTTTAGTTGGTAAAAAGTTTATTGTTCCAAGTGTATTGTTAGAAAACCTCCAAAATGGGGTCGTTGTTTAGGAGTGAAGAAATGACACTATGTCAGCTTTTCCTGCAAAGTGAAGCTGCATATGCTTGCGTGTCTGAACTCGGGGAGTTGGGGCTTGTGCAGTTCCGCGATGTGAGTATCTATGATTCATCATTAGACACTAAAAACCTAATATCTGTACAGAAAATTCTTCGTCTTGACCCCATTCACTGTAACTGTATCCTATTCACATTTAGCAAATTTATTGATTAGATTTTTATTTATTATTGCACTTGCCAACTCGTTCACAATTCATTTACCTATTAAGATTAAAAGCAAGTTTCATTAAATATGTCTATTCAATTCCAATAATTTTTATTCCCTGCATCATTTGCGTTGAATATTGATTTCTCCAAATAACATAACGAAAATTGTCAATTTAACTATTTGTTTTTATTTTTACTATATAGTGATAATTTAAACCGATTATGTGATTCTTTTTTTGATTGAAGGAATTTTTAGTCACACTCCAATTATGTCAAGTTTGAAACAAATTTATTTGTGGTTTAAAATTTTCATTTAATATTAATGAAATATTATAAATATGAAAATGTGTACAGATGTTTGTTACTTAATCAAACTTAAATGGCTGAACAGAATTGAATGGAAATTGTAACACAGTTGTTACATATTGGCAGTAAAGTTCTAACAATACATAAGTCAAAATGTGGCAGTTTTCAGGAGAGGAAAAATGACTTGATAAAATATCTATTTAAAAAATTATACTCCAGTACAGAGTAATTAGTTTAAATCAGAGATATTTGATTCCAGTGAACTGCTATTAGAGAACTATCTCTGCCCTCCCCAGAAGACAGTTTGATAATAAAAAAAAAATAAAGCAATGTGGCAGACGGCAAGCCAATAAATAAGTATGTTTAATAAAACCTATTCCTTCACAGGAATGACACATTCTTCTAAATGTCCAATGATATTTTATTATAACTGATCAATTATGTAAATGAATATGATGAAATATGAATAATGCATTAAACATTGTGGAATTAAGTACATATAAGTAATTTGAATAATATTATAATCAAATACATTATACTGGGCTGTGAAATCACTTCTGATTTAATGGAATTTTTTATTATTTAATAATTTTAATTTTTGCATTTTTACCATGTGATTCTATCATAGAAAAGGCTGCCCTTCATTTCTCACGGGTCTAAGAGGCAACTAAGGGATCTTAATAGTCTAGGGAGGGGCAATAATTCCTCATTAAACATCATCAAGTTTTCCCAGTAGTTGCCAAGCATGGCAACTACTGGGAAAACTTCTTAATTGGGGGTAGGCTTATGTTCAGCAGTAGACAGTTAAGGGTTGTGATGATGATGATGATTCTTGCAACTTGTACTGATAAACAAGTTCATGACCAACTTGATAACAATGGACATTACAGATACGTGCTTGATACTTAATCTGCTGGCATTCCTAGGGACTAAGATGTTATGCCATATTAACAACTTTAATATTACACCATGTATTTACATGCTGTACCATAAAGCAGTGATTCTTAAATTACATTCTATAGAAGATTTGGCAGCATTCTGTGTATTATTAATATTTTATGTACATGTACAATGTATATTTACTTGTTAAATTCTAAACTGATTAGTTTGTTTGAATTACTTTGTTTAATTTCACTGTGATTACATTTACAGTACTGTGTGTGACTGCCAACATAAAATTAAACAAAATAATTGCACTGTATCTAATATATATGTATACAAAATATACAGTATATAATATATAATAAATGTTCTAAGTGATCTGCCAAATAATATTATATCTCATTCAGTAAAATTCTAAATTAATACAGCTATTCAAATTATATTCTTTGTATTTTTTTTTTATACAACTTAGAATGGCAAACAAGCTGACGGTCCACCTGATGGAAAGTGGTAACCGTCACCTATAGACATGAGTAGTACCATGGACATAACAGAGTGTACTGTTTTGCCCATGATACCCCCCATGCATTGCCATTCCTGAGGACTCGGGTGTTATTCCTCTGTACCCAGTAAATTCACGCCATATCCCACTCTTCGAACTGAAACACAGCAATGCAAATTCACGACAGTTAGCTACATTGTTAGCTTATAATATATTACATAGTCCTGTTATAAATAGTATAACAGTTAAACATAAAAATTGTATAGGATTTAGTAATTATACTAATGATTATTTAAACTTAGTTTACTGACAAAGAGAAAGCCAAAACATCTTAAACTAGTTCATCAAAATATTCAAGGCTTTCTTGGCAAAGAATTACTAATAGAATTATTTTTAAATGAATTTAATATTGACATTCTATGCCTCACTGAACATTGGCTAAAAATGACAAACATGTCAATTCACATACCGAATTATAAAATCCAGAGTGTATTCAACAGACAAAACTCTATAAGAGGAGGGTCTATTATTTTTGTAAATAAAAATATTAAAGTTAAAGAGCGTAAAGATATAGTAGCACTTTCTAAGGAATGTGTTGTTGAAATCTCATGTACAGAGTTGGATAAATATATAATTATATGTGTATATAGACCCCCAAACTCAGACTACGTCAAATTTGAGTCCATCATGGAGGATGTACTGAAATTAGCATTTAAAAGTAATAAATCTATATTAGTATGCGGGGACTTTAACGTGGACCTTCTAATTGATAGTCCTATGAAGACAAAAATCAATAGTTTGTTTAAAAGTTTTGGTCTAGTTCATGTCTTCTTAGAACCGACGCGAATTACATGTAATACAGCAACATGTATTGACAATATATATTGTAATTTTAATATTTTAAATAAATCTATCATAAATACTTTACCTTCGGACCATTGCGGACAAAGTGTGACATTTACATGTAATGAAATTACGGAAGATACCTATAAACTCTATAGACCAACAACAGCATATAAATTGCAGAAATTCAGAGATAGATTAAAGGAAAGCCTACCTTTTTTAAAGTATGATGATAATAATATAAATCCTAGTACATTATATGACCGATTTTTCAATATAGTAAAATCTCATTTTGATAATAATTTTCCAATTAAGAAGTCAAAGATTAAGAATTCAAAATTTAGTGAATGGTCTACGTTTGGTATTAGAAAAAGTAGAGAGAATATGTATCAACTGTATGATATCAAGAGCTATTTGCAAGAACCTATTTTTGTTGAATATGTGAAAAATTACTCAAAAATATTTAAAAGAGTGTGTAACGCTGCTAAGATCCTTCACTTAAAACGTAAAATTACAACATCTAAAGACAAAATAAAGACTACGTGGAACATAATAAACACGGAAATAGGTAACAAAAAGTCTCGTCAGTTAAAATATAGGCTGAAAACTGAAAATGGTATCGTTGATAAAAATGATCAAGTTGCTCAAGTTTTCGAAAATTTTTTCTCAACAATACCTTTAAAAGCAACAAAATCATTAAATTCGTCACCTGATTTAGCTAAACAATTATTAAAAAACACTGTGAGTTCCTGTATCTATGATTTTAGGTTTCATTACATAAATTCTTCTTGTATAATAAAAGCCTTTAACTCTCTCAATCTGAAAAATACGGAAGATATTTGGGGTATGTCAGTAAAGGTAATGAAATCTGTAATAAATGAAATTGCTCCTCATCTGGCTATAATATTTAACAAGAGTATTGATCAAGGAGTGTTTCCAGATCTAATGAAAGTTAGTAAAATAATGCCGTTATTTAAGTCTGGTGATAAGGAAAACCTTACTAACTTTAGGCCAATCTCAATTCTACCAGTATTTAGTAAGATTTTCGAAAAATTAATTCTTCTACAAATGTTAGACCATTTTAATTTACGTGACTTACTCCACAAGCAACAATATGGATTTACAAAAGGACGATGCACTGTTGATGCCGGCATTAATTTAATGCAATGCATTTTCAGTGCATGGGAGAATTCACAAGATGTAATTGGTGTATTTTGTGATCTTTCTAAGGCATTCGATTGCGTCGATCATAAAACTTTATTAATGAAGCTTGAACATTATGGAGTTAGAAATAAGTCTTTAGATCTCTTAAAATCTTACTTAAATTCAAGAATTCAAATAGTAGAAGTAAACGGTGTCAATTCTAGTGGATCTTATATTGAAATGGGTGTGCCTCAGGGATCTATTTTGGGTCCTTTTCTTTTTCTTGTATACATGAATGACTTACCGTATCATGTTCAAGATTTGTCTGATATTGTATTATTTGCTGATGACACTTCACTAATGTTTAAAGTGAATAGAAATACACATAACCTTGACCATGTAAATGTTGCTTTGTCTAAGGTTTTGATATGGTTTACGTCAAATAATCTAGTACTTAATTAAAAAAAAACTAAATGTATCAGATTTTCCATATCCAATACTAAGCAAGTGAATACCGCTATTAGATTAGACCACCAGGATTTAGACTTTGTAGATAGAACCACTTTTCTTGGCATAGTAGTTGATTATAAGTTGCAATGGGGCTCCCATATATTTGAATTAGCCAACAGGCTGAGTTCAGCTGCTTATGCTGTTAGAAAAATCCGACAATTAACTGATACAATAACAGCTAAGCTTGTATATTTTAGTTACTTTCACAGTATCATGTCATATGGCATTATATTATGGGGGAGGGCTGCTGACATCGATACAATCTTTGTACTGCAAAAAAGAGCAGTTCGGTCAATATTTAATTTGCCTTCTCGGGAATCTCTTAGGGAATATTTTAAGCAAACAGGTATACTTACTGTTCCCTCGCAATATATATACGAAAACATTATGTATGTACGTAAAAATATAAATCTTTTTAAAAATAACAGTGACATACATAATTTCAATACAAGAAATAAAAACAAATTGAATGTTCCTTGTTATCGCCTTAGAAAAGTCAGTACATCTTTCATGGGGAACTGTATACGTTTTTATAATAAACTTCCAGATGACGTTTTACAATTAAATGAAAGAAAATTTAAGACATATATAAAAAGGACTCTCTGTACAAAAGCATATTATAAATTAAATGACTATTTAAATGACAAAACTGCATGGATTTGAATTTTGTATTAATGTGAATTGTATTGTAAATGTAATTATTGCATTTTTTCTTAAATCAATATTATTTTCTATAGTAATTATTATAATTATAGATTGACGTATCATAAGTATCTGTAACAGATGTATATGAATAAAGATGATTGATTGATTGATTGATTGAAATACAACTGCTTCACAGATGAAACACGAATTGGATTTCAAAGCTTCCTTATGCATGATTAAATTTAAATTGTACTATTTTACTACTATGATTTATTTACTTTCAAAAGTTTAGGAATTACTTCTATAGAATACAAAATAACTGGGTTATAAGTGAGTAGGTTCATAATTTAATCTAAGCATGATATCAATATCCTCTATAAATAAAGCAGGCTACTGCTGCACTATGCTAATTCTGTATAAACTGTGTCAATTGACTGTAGTGATTTAATGCTCTTTGTATATATAATGGACTAGTACTTAATTTTACTAGACTCAGTTTTACTACACATGTATGTTTGAAATATGTATGCAAAGGAGGTCTTGTATTGAAACTGCTATTGTAGTGTAGTATAACTGCCATTCTCTGATATTTGTATAATATAAAGTAAAATAGGGATTGTATAATATTGAGTCAGTACAGTACGAAGACCAAAAATAAAATTTTTTGAATAAAACATTTGAGAAAGGAAACAAAGTGAAGAAGAAACATTTAATATCTGCTGTATTAAACTAATAGTTGGATTCACCATGTTAGTATAGGACTATGGGATTCAGTAATATTTCACTGATGGGAGGCTCAAAATTTTCTTTGCATATTGTCATAGTCGTAGAATACTGACGGATCTGACAAATATTAAATATACAGATCCGTCAGTATTCTATGACTATGATGATATAATTGTTAGTTTTACTGGTTCAACACTATCTTAAAAAAGAAAGTTAATAGCTTTGATTGTACCCCGTATAAAAAGTAATATTCATGCAGATACACATGTCACAACTTTCGACCTATGCCCATCTGTGGGATGTCAATAAACTGTGTAAGGCTACCATATACTACTTCACTGATATGACTAACTATTATGACTAAGTAATCACAAAATCTAACAAACTATTGTCCTTGTTTTTACAAAGCTAATTGGCAAATAGATTTTTTTTTATACAACTTAGAATGGCAAACAAGCTGAAGGCCCACCTGATGGAAAGTAGTAACCGTCGCCTATACACATGAGCAGTACCATGGACATAACAGTGTATACTGTTTCGCCCATGATACCCCCCATGCGTTGCCATTCCTGAGGACTCAGGTGTTATTCCTCTGTACCCAGTAAATTCACACCATATCCCACCCTTCAAACCGAAACACAGCCATGTAAACACAACTGCTTCACGGTGGAAACACGAATGGGACAGAGGTACCCAAGCAATCGACTTTTGTACAAAGTCTTCCTTTATATGAGTAGTCTATAGATATATACTAATGGTTAGGAAATATTTGATGTTTATATTGAATTTTATATAATGGCAATACTGTTATAGTCAAGCTGTTTGTTCAGTGATAGTTTAATATTTGTTTACACAAAAAAATAATTAAGTTAGTTGGAAATTGGTGAACATATCACTTAATATATTCACATACAAAAACCAGAAGGAGACTTTGTACAAAAGTCGATTGCTTGCGTACCTCTGTCCCATTCGTGTTTCAACCGTGAAGCAGTTGTGTTTGTATGGCTGTGTTTCGGTTTGAAGGGTGGGATATGGCGTGAATTTACTGGGTACAGAGGAATAACACCTGAGTGTACTCTGTTATGTCCATGGTACTGCTCATGTCTATAGGCGACGGTTACCACTTTCCCTCAGGTGGGCCGTCAGCTTGTTTGCCATTCTAAGTTGTATAAAAAAAAATACAGACATGAATATGTGAAAAAAACTCTAATGTGAAAAAAATTATGGTATCCAGAGCCAATATTCTGATGGCTCTGCATCCTGTGGTGAACTTTTATTAACAAAATATTATTCATTTTAAAGATTTATATAATTTTTAGAACACTTTTTTATTATATAACTAAATAATTGGTCATATGACCAAAAAATGTGACTACATATAATCTATAATTGATAGTAATTTAAGGTAACAATTTAATCTTTCCAGTTATCTAGATAAAGAATTAATACGTTTTTAGCTTCGCAATAATGTATCTTATCAATAATAACACTATGGATTTACTCAATTTTATATAATACTAACTTTTACCCGCGACTTCGGCCTCGTGACTGGGATTTCTTTATTGATCGATATAAAAATTATCCTTTGTCCTTCCCCATCCCATATAGTATGTGTATACCTTTCACAGTGATTGGTCAAGCTGTTAAGACGCTATAAAGTAATAAACAAACTCACTTTTCTTTTATACCATAAAGATAAGGCAAACAAGTTACTGCCCGTCTGACGGTAAAATGTTACTATATCCTATGGACGCCTGCAACACAAGAGGCATTACGTACACGTGGATGGTGGACAATGGAGTTGACAGCCCCATTGCTAGCAATATTAGGTCGACCTCCACGTGGTTTCCCCTGGAAACCATCGTGACTCACCTATCATCTTTCACTGGTGCCCCACCAATGTATACCGATAGCACAGGCGGGGTTACCATTTCATTATCATCCATTAAAAAAAAAACACAATAATAATAGACAGTCCCGGGGGGAACTGTGTGGAGGTCTATCGTTATCGACCTGATAGGGTATATTGCTAGCAATGGCGATGTTAGACCCCATGACTAACATTCGTTCTGAAGTCTTTTTGACGTCGGTTGAAACGTAGCTTTTTTTTTTATCTAAATATGTTATACCGCACCAAATAATTAAAGCTTATACTATTGGTAGTGAACAGTGCATTTAAAGAAAAGCGTCCTATGTACTAAGTTAGGACCTACCCGTATATTAAATTTCATTCAAATCTGTTTAGTATTTTTTATTAGAAAGAGTAATAAACATCCATCCGTCATCTCGTCCTTTCTTACGAAAATTCGTATTTATAATAAAATGTGGACGATTTATAATAAAATGCTGGTATGGAAACGGTGTTTTTAGAAAGATAATATAATTATAAAAAAATATACAAAGCAAACCAACGGAACGAAAAAGCGTACGAAACAAAACTAAACTGACATAGACTTCAAATTACAAACATGTTTGCATGGTTGTGTTTCAGTTTGAAGGGTGGGATATGGCGTGAATTTACAGGGTACAGAGGAATAACACCTGAGTCCTCAGGAATGGCAACGCATGGGGGGTATCATGGGCGAAACAGTATAGTCTGATATGTCCATGGTACTGCTCATGTCTATAGGCGACGGTTACCACTTTCCATCAGGTGGGCCGTCAGCTTGTTTGCCATTCTAAGTTGTATAAAAAAAATTACAAACAAGCAACCGTTTTAATAAAATTTAAAAAGAAACAAAAAAAGTACATCGTGCGCTTAATAATAATTATTTATTTATTTATACAGTTGAACCCGGACGTGAACGCGTTCCAACGCAAATTCGTCAATGAGGTCCGACGGTGCGATGAGATGGAGAGGAAGCTCCGCTACCTGGAGAAGGAGATCCGCCGCGACGGGATCCCCATGCTCGAGATCCCGGGCGAGTGTCCCGAGGCGCCCCAGCCGAGGGAGATGATCGATCTTGAGGTAACAATTTGTTTAATCCAGATTCATAATATCTAGATAAAGTAACTACAATCCCTACAAACGTTGTGCCGGTGACTGACGATAAGATGAGGATGAAATCACGTCGATTTATCAGGAACCATGATAGTTTCCAGGAAACCGCGTGAAGGTTAACCTGTCAGGGTATACTGTTAGCAATAAGGGTGCTAGTCTCTTTGTTTATACCACAAAAGTGGCAAACAATCATAGCCCGTCTGATGGTAAACGATACCATCATTGGTACATTACCACCATAAGGGGCCTATAGACTGTAGCTTATGGACGCCTGCAACACTAGGGGTGTACCATCCACGTGTTGGTCTTGAAAGAAACCTTAATATATATATTTTTTGTACAACCGCATACTGTAGTCTCTAAAGAAAACCTCGGCAAGGAGCTCTTCTGGTCATCATCTCTGCCAACAATTTCTCTTCTCCTCTTCTCTAACTTATGTCAGTTGCTATTCTTAACTTATGTACAGGCAGCCGGCTGTTGGTGCTCATGATGCTGTTAATGGCACCTTTTGAGACTGTTCTTTAAGCATCACTGCATGACTGTGCATTATTTAATTTTTCTGGAATATCTTTAACTAAATAATTGATAGCATACTTAACATTTTTTTCTACTTTAGGCCACGTTCGAGAAACTAGAGAACGAGCTCCGCGAAGTGAACCAGAACGCAGAGGCGCTGAAGAGGAACTTTCTCGAGCTCACCGAACTGAAGCATATACTGAGAAAGACCCAAGTATTCTTTGACGAGGTAAGTTCACGCATAGATTAGTTAGCTATGGAAAACTAAAGGAATTATAAAGGAAATAGGTTCACGAGAGTGTAACTACATTGTGTTACCATCAAATGTACACGCAAAGAAATACAAGCAGTATTCTTAATATATGTAATGAAAGTAATGGCAACACCGTGAAACTGTCAAGAGTTATACATTGATCAATTAATGCCACGCGATTCGACACAAATCACATGATTTTAAATCAATTAATGTCGAATACGCTGTTACCTATTTACCTGACGTAATGAACGCCATCGCTCTCGGAGTACCTACTATTGTAAATTAATCGGGTTTACAACAGATAAGATAATTAATTTCTTCAGTACACCAAATGTCAACATAATAACTTGAATGTTTGAATAACCACGATGGAAGTAATTCCACCATCGTTTAATGATGGTACTTGGTAAATTGTCATAATTATATAGTAGTTATGTTATATATAGGACAGTTTTGACCAAATTTAACAAGGCCAAACTTTAATCCTGATAATGTACATGAATTACAAGTTATTGTATGTAAATGTATGATAGGATGAGTTTCCAGTGATATAACACTTACTTGTAAGTGAATGTTAATCGTATATTGCGCTAAGTACGAAGTCAAGGTCAGAATTGCTGTTGTAGAAAAAATTAGCTCCACGATCGATTACCAGATTTTACTTTTTTTTTTTCTAATATCATCATTTATTTATTTGTTATTCTCTTGTTTTTCAGTCAGTGTCTCATTAATATTATATATAAATTATTATTACTAAAATATATAAGTAACAAGCACTCGAATAACAGTATAATTGAGTACTACTAATTCATTTAATTATTGAATACTCACCCTGCGAAAATAATTTTCTTTTTAATCAAGGTCGTGGGTCTTTATTCTATTTTTTTTTTTTATTTGAAATTAGTATTAGTGTCATCGAAATGTGGGCTTCAAACAGCGATAATCAATTTCTGCATTATTTAGTTTTTTTGAGTGAACCAGTGACGTCACAACGCCAATGTCACATTTATCGTGTTGTTTCTGTACGTAATTATACACTGGAAACGGCAAATGACGTTAATTTAAGTGTATTATAATTAGTGCCTACTATTAGTTTTGATGTCTTCATGTTCATAAATCAAATTTCCCACGACCATGGTGACTGTGACATTGACATTGGCCCGTCATTGACCTTGGCGCCATATTGGCGTGTCTGTGTACAAGATGGCGGACCCGTCGCGTGAGGAGGAACAAGTGACCCTACTTGGGGAGGAGGGACTCATGGCGGGAGGGCAAGCGCTCAAGTTGGGGTATGGACAGATTGTTTACGACCGCTCTGTGACGCTCTTTGACTTCCACGTTATAATGTGTTGGGTGCCGCGTGTGGGGTAGTCCGATCCAATACCGAATTAGCGTGGAAATCAAACTATGTCTAGAGCGTTGTTATTTTTGCAGCGCTTGTACTGTGACGCTGATACGGGAGTCTACCGATCACCACTCAGGCAAGCATTGGAGTCGGCCGGTTTATAGTATATCATCAACATAACCACTCTCTTTGACTTCTTGTGTGATGGAATGATAGCTTAGCGTAGAGCAGACCGTACCCCACAAACGTCAGTCCTAATTTCGAGCTTCGAGATTAGAGCGACCGAGAGGAGCGTGCTAACCAAAGTGCTGCCTGAGTGAGTTTCCACTAACACGTTTTCCCGAAACATGATTTATTTTTGAAGTCCATCCGAGTCGTCGTAAGCGAGCGTGGAAGTTGTTCTTGATTTATTTTCTGTTTCCATTCCTTCATGCTTTGTGTACACAAGTCATATGCATGCCATTATTATTTTATGTTCATGTACAAGTAGTATAGAATATCACTATGAAACACATACAAGCCGATTAGTTTATCTCTCGTTTTCTTATTAAGGTTACACCGTAATTTGAACACTATAACTATATGGAGTAGCAACAGACTAACAATACAAGATGCTTTATAGAATGTCAAGTAGCGATAGCTAGGTAAAGCCGCAACTGTCCCAACGACCACGCGGTTTCGGAATGTTTTTCCACAGTGTACCGTTGGTGCTACATTTTTACTACAACAGACAATGGGAACATGCTTGTGTCACATGCGTGTCGGGCTTACTGTGTCCGTCCTGGGCGGTGTCTGTACCTGTCTATGTTTGTCCGATAGCACGAGGGTGGTGCCAATACCACTGAGTCGATGACGCGCGCGCTGATATCCGACGACCCGAACAGACATATCGGACACGTCCAACTAGGGTATGTATGGCTGTGTACATACTACACTAGCAACACCCCCTCACTGACCCGATTTGAATGTTATCACCAATTAAACCGTAGTTGAAGCAAATTATGAAGCATTAAATGTTACAAGCTTAGTTTTGGAATTGGCCAAGTTGAATATACCAACTACAGTTTAAATACGATCACTCGATCTGGCTCCCTAGATCACGTTTCATGCTCACGTCACGTCTGTGTGGGTGCATCACAGGTTGTTTTTCATAACGTTGATACGTTTACGATTAATGACTTCAATAGTACACACACAGACGCGCATATCATTCTCAATCAAGGTGTTCACATAAAGGAGACAGTTTTATTATTTGATAAATTTCGTCTACGTATACGATTATGTTTACTTTTTTTTTACGTTGTTGTCATGAAGTTTTACGCTTTTTACAAGCTATATGTGAACACCAATTACTTGCTGATACGTGACTGTAAAATCTTCAATTATTATAATTTAACGAAAAGCAATGAAATGAAATAATGACTAATTAAATGTAACGTGATTTAAGAGCAAGACGTCAACTATATAGTAATCGACACTGAAAATAATCTTAAAATTAATAATGCATGCAAAAGTCACTCTTGCAAACTTGTAAATATGGCCCATTGTTGAATTTAAAGATGAAATTCAGAATATTTAAATTCCCCATGAACGAATAACTATAAATATATTGCAGGGTTAACATTACTATTGTTCTCTGACAATTTAAAGTTTTGTTTAGCTGTTGTGTTGTATAATGGCTAATTTGTAATGCTTGATCTATTCTCTAGTTTACGGGATAAGCAAGAATCTTTGGAATTCCTGCCTTGGTTAGTAGCGTACATTGTATTATTGTAGTTGTATTTAGTAGTATGTGGAGGGATATAAGATATATATATATATATATGTTTCGTCTGTGAAGTTGGAGATTGTGCACTTGTAACGCTTGGACAAAATTCAAAATGACCTTTTCAATTTTGTCAACACACGGGGAGACAATGGAGCGATCATGTGATAAGACAATTATTTACTCACAATCACTTTGCTTACTAACACTTCACTCCAATGTCACAGTAACATATTATTAAACATCATAAATGTGCGTTGTCAAGGTAACCTGGACTTCAAGAATAGATAATGGCTCTAGGTGCGAATATTGTAAATGCTGTAAATTTTCTATCGTTATATACGCAAACTTTCTTTTCACTATCCTCCGACTGTCATGGCATTAACATAATCAAATAAAACAATCGAACTTCAGACATCATAAAATTATTTTGCACTCTGAGATGGAAACTAATTACTTTTTCTCAAACATGCTTGGAAATGTGAGCATTATTTGGACAATCTTCTTCGAGATAAATCAAAATTGCCGTACCGGCCAGATACATGCGGACAGCGGCCGGCAAAAGTTGTATGAAAATCCATATCTGTCGTGTTTTGCGGCCAGATAAAAAGTAAAATTGTGTTTTTGATTTCCGCGCATTGTTTGAGAAAAGTACTATACAAGCCTTGGCCACAACTAGGCATTGATGGACTTACGTATGTGTGCCTCGGCTGTGCCTTGGCGCACATTTGCACGTTCGTTTATCAATGCCTCAGTTGCTGGCCGCTGCAGTAATGTACTATTAATTCTATTGAAAGCGTTTGATTTCAAATCAGAAATATCATCAAAGATATTTGCAAAGGGCAAACTTGTGTGCTTGTTGGTTTTTAGTAAGTGCCATAATATCTTGTCACTTAATGAATTGCTTAATTAATTAAGTGTCATTCTACGTATTTGTATTTATTTCATATCCCATAACTATTTTTATATCTCTTAATAGTGAAACGAAAGTTGTGAAATGGAATTTCGTCCACCCTTTTATAAAGTTCTAACAGCGTCTTGGTACGAGTGCCTTAGTTATTAATGTCACTTTGTGTATATTTCCTTTTTATTTCAGCCTACTCGTGTTATTCATTCATCTTTTATCTTTTACAGCCATGTAATTCTGTACTTGTTTAAATTTTGTTTAAACAAAAGAATTACGTGTATTACCTATACGCGCTTATATTTGGCCTTGAATGGATATTGATAACATCAACTATATACCTTTAAGTCTGAAGTTAATCAATTATAATAATTCAAACAATAAAAGTTAAACATACAATAATAAATGTTCCAAATTAAACAGCAGGTTAGTTCTAACGAAGTTCCTTTTCCATAACCTTTTTTCTATATCCAACCCGTTATCTAATCTCAGGATTTCCAAGCTAATCTTAGAACCTACCAGAATCATTTATGCGTACTCTTTTAAATTCATTAAATGTAAATCTAATGACATAATAGCCATCTTTATTTTTAGCATCTCCTTATTATTTAATAGGATTTATGTTCTACATATACAAAATTTATTGTATATACATTTTATTATTGTTTCTAATGGTATCTAATACTTTGTCGCGTCTGCGTACCATCCGCGGATATCGCTCGAGCTATTTGTACTGACGGCGTGCTATCGTATGTACATACACTTTGCATCACAATAACTTCAGTGAGATGTGACGACTCTTGTTAAATGGTTATTAATATGCTATCATGAGAGCTGAGGCCATTGTGTCATTTACAAAAGGAGGCAGGCACATCACTGAATAATACATAATTATTGTTATATACGCTTTTTGTTATTTTCAAGATCATCTATGTATATTAATAACGTAAATCCGTAAATAATCACAATAATTAGACTATATTCAAGGCAACTGTTGTGTTAGTCTCACACTTTCGTGATATTGTTGACTGATAATGATGCAGTACAAACTGGTTAAACAAATTGCAAAATTTATGTAGTGCCCTATCTAACATCGTATCAAATTTGTTACTATCAGTACATCACATTTTATCAATTTTATACTTCAATCTCAAATTTCATCTGGAATGAAAAAGATGAAAAATAAATCTCCCGTGATTTTTGATAAAGGTTCACTTCAAGAAATGTTTGTATCTTATCTTTGCTTCGTATAATGCAGGCTTAACCTTAAATATCTATGGTTCGTTACCAGACGATTTAACGACTTTGCTAGAGAAGATTTCTCTGTACAATGCTATTTCTAATTTAACTGATTATTGTTAGTTTACTTAGATATTTGATATTTTTTATGTTTCTTTAGACTTCGATCTTCGAAATTGATCGTAGAATTATTATGAACAATATGAAACCAATATTAGGCATCTATACAATTGCTGTAACATTACCTACATAGCAGTGTCAAAAAAGGCTTCAACTTTAAAAATATGATTTCTATCAGTCACTATAATTTGTTTATTGTTCTTTAATTCTTATTAAATAACTTGTAATTAAGCGATTAAAAACACTTGCAAAATGACTAACAAATACAGTCAAATAAATCTCTTCATCTTCTTAAGTCAGTTTGAATATATCGATATGGAGACTAAATGTGCATAACTAAAGAGAAAACTTTTTAAATTTGTAACTTTTTGATGACGTAAGGAAGCCATCATTATTACTGTATTGTTGATCTAATATATTCTCCAAACTATGCAATGATCTCGTATATAGGACAGGTTTAATATCCTCCCTCCATTCGCATCTCGTTTTGTATGCGTTTAGATATATGGATATTGATCATTAGCCAACATTTGCTAAATATTTCTCGTGGGCATATTCCGGAGGGCATGACGTAACATGAGCAGAACACACGTAGAGGTTTCCATACCCTCGCTCATAAATGTTCCAATCGCTCTTCTAGTATTTCTAGTAGTTTCCTCAAAACTGAGCGTCGTGACCCCAAGTATGCTCCACTTGGTGAATACTGTCCAGGCTTCCTGTTTTGACCTAAATAAGATAATAAAAGAAATTTTATCAAAATTGGTTCACTGGTTTGGATTTTAAACCAAAATAACTTGTTCATGGTTGTGATTATTAGTTTTGAAAGAATAGGAAAGCAGAGAGTCAATATTTTATTTTTTATTCAGTTTTGCCACGATTGAAGTTAATGTTTTACTTTTAAGTAATCTACCTATATGACTGGCTAACCTCCTGATAAAGAGAGATCCTTCGTTAGTACTATTTTATTTTATTTCCTTCTGTGAACTATCACACTATTATATATGTACAGGTATCTGTTCCTATAAAGTTTCATGAAAATCGGATTTAGCTCCATAAGTTACGACACTATCACAAACATAATACATAATGATATTAAGAGATCTCTTTTTTAGCTATTTAGCTACAGAACGCTAAAAAAATTGACAGACATTTATTAGTAGTCCTAAAGAGATCATTAGTTTCAAGAAATAATAATGATGCTAATTCCTTCCATAGATCATTTTGCAATGATTCTATCGATTGGGTGCCAATGCGTTTGTCACGACTGTACAGGTCGATGTTCTTGTAACTGTTCTCAAAAAATATATAATCAATGAAACAGTTATAATTTCAGAAGTACCACTATTTGTACTAGGTCTCGTAATCTATTGCTATTAATCTATTGCAATGGTACGATGATGAATTGAAAGTTCTACACGTATCTCAATAACCTTGCTTAGTAAATACTGACACAATATTATTTAGCTAATGAAACGTCGGAGATCAATATCTTTATTTTCCATGCTGTTCACATCTGTGTGTAGTTTGTTTCCACAGTTTATCAGAATGTCTGTCAGTTTTATCGGCTATTCCCAGTATGAATGCAATGCCATTGTTTAGGCTGGACAATGCATTTTTTTTAGTAACAGAATCGAAAGTTGGTTTTTTCCTTGTACGTCCTATTGAATGGAGACACTGAATTTATCTAATAAATTTGTTTTTAAACGCGTCGGTTACATTGCGAATTTGATCAAGGTTTGTCATATTTTCTTCTTTCTATAAAAGGTCTTTTTTAGTAACCATTGTCTATTAATAATTTATAAAAGACGGGAATTACCGCGACCATACGCGACGTGATATTTACTTATTTATCGATTTCGAACATGACAATATGAATATGGGACCAAAACGAAAGCAAATAATCAACTCCATAAAGAATTTCCAAAAATGGTTCAGAATTGATGATACAGTATTGTTGTTATGAAAGCCTTATACATTTTGAAAGCAAATCAAGTACATGTAGCCTTGCACTAAACAATGTCCACAGTAGTAGTAAATAAATAGGTACATTTATACAGACAGACAATCATTTGAACAATTGGATACGATATTAAGTTACAGGGTCAAGTTGAAAACCGTGTTATAAATGTAACGTCGTTCATCTTAATTGTACAATGATAAAAATTACGCTAACTGATAATAAATTTATCGTATCTTTCTTTATTTATTTTTAACGTGGCGCTACAGTTTCCTATTGTACTGTTATATAATGGTACATAATATTATTGTTGCTACGGCTTAGTATGATAACGTTACTGCTATTTTTTTTTTTATGTTAGAAGTCATGTTTTTATACCAGCATCATAAGTCATAAAATTGATTCTGTCATTATTTCCCTTGTCTGTCAATCGTACTATTTTTCTTTTCATTTAAAAGTTTTCTTTTGTCGGTGCAATTAATTCATGCATTTTTCTCCAGCCAACTCCATCCCAGGCCATAGCTTTGACCTCCCTATACGACATGACACCTAGTGTTTCCTTTATCTTTTCCATTATTTCAATTATCAATCGTAATCAATAAACTATATTTTAGCTATTGATTTATTTTATTAGAATTTTCTTGTCTCTCCTTTTTGTGTTCTGGTCCAACCAAATTTTAATTCGCATTTGACAAGCGTTATGATACTCGATACTAGGGTTGTCATTAGTAAAATAGATAAACCACGATCCGAAGTGTTTTAA